GATCCAAAATGGCGGACGGAAAGTGTTGCGAAATACATAAAAATTTAAAAATTTCAGCGAAATAAGGTAAATGGGGGTTACCGCGAACGTTGATGGTCGTTCAAAATAAAAAGAATCGCGCGCGTAGCGCTCTGTGAAGTTGGTACCCCTAAATGCGAATATTGGTAATATCATTATTGCATTCGTTTGTCCACTGTTTGTCCACGTTTGTCCACCCGTTATTTTCTTTGGTCCACCCCGCAAAAAAAGGTTATACATAAAAAAAAATTGTAACATCCCCAAGTGATAATTTTTCATAATTATGTACAGGTATCGTTTGTCCACAACGCGCACGTGATTGTCCATCCATTATTTTCATTTGTCCACCCTATTTTTATTATATTTTTCGTAATAATGTAAAATAATCACTTGGGGGTGTTACAATTTTTTTTTATGCATAACTTTTTTTTGGAGGGTGGACAAATGAAAATAACGGGTGGACAAACATGGACAAACAGTGGACAAACGAATGCAATAATGATTTTACCAATATTCGCATTTAACGTGCCAACTTCACAAAGCAGCTCTGTAAAGTTGGAATCTGTAAATGTGAATATTGGTAATATCATTATTACATTCGTTTGTCCACTGTTTGTCCACGTTTGTCCATCCGTTATTTTCATTGGTCCACCCTCCAAAAAAAAGTGCTGCACAAAAAAAAATTGTAACACCCCCAAGTGATTATTTTACACTATTACGAAAAATATAATAAACATAGGGTGGACAAACGAAAATAATGGGTGGACAAACGTGGATAAACAGTGGACAAACGAATGCAATAATGATTTTATCAAAATTCACATTTAGGGATGCTGACTTCTCAAAGCTGCTCTGAGAACTCGGCACACCTAAATGCGAATTTTGGTAAAATCATTATTGCATTTGTTTGTCCACTGTTTGTCCACCCGTTATTTTCATTTGTCCACCCTCCAAAAAAAAGTTATACACAAAAAAAATTGTAGTACCCCCAAGTGATTACTTTTCATTATTATGAAAAATATATTAATAATAGGGTGAACAAACGAAAATAATGGGTGGACAAACGAATGCAATAATGATTTTATCAAAATTCACATTTAGGGATGCTGACTTCTCAGAGCAGCTTTGAGAAGTCGGCACACCTAAATGCGAATTTTGGTAAAATCATTATTGCAGTCGTTTGTCCACTGTTTGTCCACGTTTGTCCACCCGTTATTTTCATTTGTCCACCCTCCAAAAAAAAGTTATACACAAAAAAAGATTGTAACATCCCCCAAGTGATTCTTTTTGGAGTTCGTATCGATTGCTTGAGAATTTATTTTACTAAATTAATGATTTTTTCGAAAAAATACGAATGAAAAATATCAAAAAAAACGAAGAACAACTGAATAAGATTAAAAGAAGACGAAAATCATCATCTTCATGACTATTTCAAGAAGCGGGGAAAAATAAAAAAATAAAAGAAATACGAAAATCAATAATTTAAAATGAAAACAGTTAATTAAAACTAACGGAAAAAAAGGAAAAAACAAATAATAATCTCATAAATTAGACAAATCCGAAAAAAATTTTAAGGATGTGTAAATGCTTAAATTTTTAAAAAAATTAAGTAAAGACAGAACCTACGTTGTAATTTTAGGGGAATTAACAAACCAGTTTGGTCTTTTCCAGATTTATTTGTGTATCCCCAATAATTTTGAATCGCGCGCATAGCGCGCGCAGAAAAAGGCTAGTAGTATAAAAAATAATCGACTTTTCCTCGATTAAAGTATTGTGGCTACGTCAAATACTTTCAAAATTAAAACAATTAAAAAAAAGTGTGTATCCCTTTTAGCTTAAAAAAGGATACATGCATGCTCAATTAATTGTAATCAGTAAGTCCTTTTACATTTGCAAAATCATAATTTGAAATTAAAATATTAAATATTTAATATTAAAAATGATTAAAGCTCGTCTTATAATTTTGTTCAGGAAAAGATCTACTTTGATAAGAAATTCCATGTTAGTAAAATTATTGTTGCGCGTATGCGCACATAAATTTTATTGTACAACGTCATCTATATGATATTCCTAATTTGCACATAGTCCGAATATTAAACTTAATTGTTTATAATTAAATGGATAAACATCAATGTTTTATTAAAAGTATTTTAATGTATGCAGGAATCGAAGCAAAAAGAGTATAAAAGAGGGATGTTTTATCATCAGCATCCACCAGAACTAAAATCTTATTTCATTATGGGTACTAAAGCTTTAGCAGATGAGATCGCAAATTGGCCAGAAGCGAAAAAGTAAGATTAGCATGATACATAAATAGTAGTATTTATTATTTTATTGTCTATTTAATGTTATATTAAGTAGGCAATATAACGTTTTATATGACACAAGATGATGAGATTTTAATATAAAAAGATCGAACATGTTAATCGTAAGCAAAAAATGGCAAATGCACCGTTTAGAGCATAATATTTCTCAACAAAATTAGAGAGGGTTCAAGAGTATAAATCTGACAATATAAATTATGCTCATATGAGCCAACACGAGGTGTTCAAGTAAAATAAAAATCGATCTATATTTATTAAAATCTATATATAATATTTATGTAAGTATTACATAATTTCACACCATTTTATGTTTATGTGAATTTTATTGGTAGATATTCGGAAAAAATTGCTAAACTCTCAGATCACATATACCAAATAGCAGAAGATGCTATCAAGGTCTCTGAAGATGAATTGAACGTTATTAATCACGGTGACTGTCACCTGAACAATATGTTGTTCAAATACGATGATAATGGCAAACCTATTGATCATATTTTTGTAAGTATCATCACATTATTTAACAGTTATAAAAAATTATATGCATTCCCCCTAAATAAAAATACTCCATTTATTATAATGGCGGTTTTATATTGTAATTTACAAGCATACTTCACAAATTAAATTCTGATTTTTATGAAATTTTGTTGAACATATAGTTCAGTTCCAATTACCTACATCTCTGAATTTTTATTATAGTTGAGTGCAATGATAAAAGAATAAGAAGAATTTTTCCATAAGAATAAACAAAAAATAGATATTATTCGGAGAGACACACTATATGGTATATTATAATGCATTCCAATTATTTACAATTTAGTTATCAAGACAAGCAAAGGTGGTAATAAAAGGAGACATTGTAAAATACAGTCTATAAATAATGCAATAAATTCATCTGTTTAATCGCATTCTGCTACTGCATCCGCTATCCATTTTTTCGTATATTATTTGCGTAAATTACTAACTTTGTTACTGCAACTTCCTAAACATAACATTTCTAAACATCTTATTTCCATAAATAGATTTTATTTTCAATCTATTTGTAGAGAACTCAAAAAATTGATTTCTTAAAAAAATTTATTTTTTTTTAATTACAGGTAGACTTTCAAATGTGCGTCTACACAACACCGGCACTCGATCTTCTTTATTTTCTCAATACAAGTCCTTCCTTGGATGTCATAGAAAACAAGAGAAATACTTTATTAAACGAATATCTCGACACCTTGTCGGCTACTATGAAGCAACTGAATTACAAGACGGAGCTACCCACCATGGAAGAATTGAAAGCTATCCTAAAGCGAAGGGCTAGCTATGGAATGGTAATATCTTTCACGATTTTACCACTCATGCTATGTAGTAAGAGTGAGTCAAAAGATTTGGATGAGATTATGGGCACGGGTACTTTTATAAGTCCAGGTCTACAGAGTGAGAGTTATAAAAAATTAATGATAAAGAGACTTCCATTGTATGACGAGTGGGGTTTACTAGGCTAATTCTATACATATATGTATATATATCGATATTTAATTAGAATTAGATGTTTGTAGTTAATACGTAACAAAAATAAATTATACATTATATATTAGAATATTTAATACATTAATTATAAATGTAGCTTTTCTGATGTATTGTTATCTATTATCACATAAATCTTCAAAATGGTCAAACAGATTTTAAAATAAATTCTTTCGTAACATTCTTTATCAAATTATTCTATTGACTTCTAATAGCCTATAGTTAAATCGTGCATAGTCTTATTATACAAACTATTCTAGTTTTGAATATCTATGCGACACATTTTCGCATGTATACTGGGTATTTTATGAAAACAAATGATAAAATGTGAAAAACAAATAGGAAAACCTGGGGCATAATACAATAAAACCACAAGGTATAATGGCGTATAGTCAATAACTTGTTATAGAAATGCTATCATGTAATGATAAAACTTATGTTTTTCTTATAGTATTATAGATACTCCAAAAAAATATTTTGTGTATAAAACTAAGTTGATTAATTTATTTCTAATATGTTTAAAACTTGTTTAAACCTTACGATAACCATATTACATGCCCTGGGTTCCCCTAGAAACAAAATTGCTATCGGGTTCGCTTAGTATATGCATAATAATTTTTTTATGGATATAATTGCGTTATTTTAAGTAAAACATTTGTTAATAAAAACAACAGTTTCAAGAAAAAATTATTACAAATTTGTTTGTGTGATTTAAGATTACAAGACAATGAGGTATAAGATTTGGTTATTAAAGATTAAAATAAACTATACGTTGTTAGTAGAATTTATGAAGATTATTTGTATATAATTTAATTTGTACCAGAAGGTTTGCGGATTATAGCCGTATCTTTCTTCATTCTTGATGCCGATGTTTCATAAACCATATTGTTCATTAAGGCGGGGATTGCACTGATACTAAGCTGCAACCCGGTATAATTGAAGATAATACCCGTGAAAGCTTCAAATACGTAATTACAATTTAATTTATCTTAAATAAAGATGGGCAAGTAGAACACAAGTCATTAGAATATCAAAATAATATCAAAACGATATTATTTTTCATTCAATAGCGATTAATTTTAACATTATCAGGAAACGCGGTAGCGTTTCCGGCCATGTTCAAAACTTGAGAGACGCTACAAGTCTCTTATCCCGAGCCACCAAAGTCCATTTTTGGGAGTTTTGATTATATTGTGTGATTTTATTGTTCTATTTAATCGGATAGTCTCATTATAATTAAACAGTAAACGAACTAAATAAACTGTTATTATAGGTATATGCAAACTTTATCAGCTTTGTGTCACAGCGCTTACGCGTGCTACTAAATAATTATTACGACATTCTATTAAATAGAATTGAAAGAAGATGATCAAAATAATTTAATGTTGTTAATCGTACCTAGTTAACAAAAAAATAAATTTATATTTGTTTTGACTTCTTATCGTTGCCTATAATATCGTTGGTTATAAAACCGATAAAAGATAAGATTAGTGTGTAATCTGATATAAAATACATTATTATCTGTATAATAAAGTTGTATTATATAATATCTTACATAAAAAAATATCCTTTGATTTTGGTGAGCTTTAAATATATAAAATTGTATTCTGAATAAAATATTATTAAAAAATTTTTTTTAACAAAATTGTCGCGTTATAATGAATCGACTTAGTTTAATTACAATTTTTCGTTAGTTCGTGAAACCGTTATTGTAAAATGGTTTAACAATTTATCTACTGAAGAAGATAAAGACTAATTATAGATAACATGACTTGCACGGATGTTGTAACATTTACTGTGCGATTTTTTTTTGATGGCGCGCGCGATGATGTCAATTAGTTTTCCTTTCTGAAAAACATCGCACATTCTATCGTCATTATTATCTGTTCCGTAGAATTAGTGTTTATTACGTGATTGAAGGACAAACCTGCATGAGTTTAATATTGACCACGTCTCAGATGTTATCCAAGACTCTGATGAAGATACAAAGCCTTTGAATAGATGAATATACTGACGTAGATATATAAAAGCCTGTAAATTCTGTTCTACGTGCATCATTTCGAAACTAACTTTACGAAACTGCACAGTGATCAAAGTAGGCATTTAAAAGAAATAACCGACTGAAATCAAAGACGAATAATTTCAGGTTAGTCATTTTAGTATGCATTGTTTATTATTAATATGAACTTTACTTCCTGTATTAGACGAAATTTCTTTCTCGCTTTTACGGTATATTACATACATATATATTTATTTTAATTTATCTAAGAGCATAAGTTAGTTACAGAAATAGACTTTATTTTATTTTCTTGATATTTACAAATCTTTTCGAGAAAATTTATAGGATAATATAAAAGTCATTTTATTTTACAGTTAAGAATTTTTCATTTAAGACTAAAATATTCTTTTGTCAACGATAAATATGATTGTCGATCCTATTTTATGGTAAATCGAGGAGTAATAGCATATTGAATCCAGAAATCTTTTCTGTAAATGTGTGTTACACAATCATTTTTATTGGAAAACTCTCACTGTATGTTAGTCAATTCCTTTTGCGCCCTTTTTTTGGAAACAATCGACTGGTCTCCAGTCGAAATAATATGAAATCTCCAGCGTACGACTACAGCCGTGTAGTTCTCGGGACCTGGTGACCGTGATAAAGACATCTGTTAGCATCGGTTGTTGTCTCAATGTCTATGTAATTCAGTGCCGGCATGAATCGTATTCTCAACAACAAAAGAGTTTCAATTTTAACATTACGAGTGTCTTTGAACTGATGATACAAGTCGGCACAAACGTAGTTTTATCTTTCTTGACATTCAGGAGTGCGTTCTAAAACTTTGACTCTGTTAACTCCAAGTATATTTTAGCCTTGTCCAACATTCAATAAACAAAAAAGACAAAATGATACTTGAGTTGATAAAGTTGAATTTTGGAACGCAACTCAGAGAATGACAAAAATAGAACGACACTTGTGTCGACTTGTGTCATTAGACGGAAAGCATCCTACTCGCAAACGTTACGAACAAGTGTAACACTGTAAACGTCAATTAAAAGTAATATATGAATAAAATAGTTATAATTTTACAATTAACAAAGTAACTGTTATATAACTCACGTATTTTATATTATATTATATTACTGTGAAAATTCGTTTGTGTTTTGTAACTCGGTGAGAAAAGAACAGGATTTTCCAAGAAAATTTTCCAATTCCAATTCCATTTTCAGAAATGGACCTAGAAACATTGACATGGCTAAATATAAGCTTCGTGGAGAAGATTCTACGAAAGTCAGAAAACGACAATTCGATTCAAGTGATGGATATATCTTCGAAACAGGCCACGGTCAAGGGTGACAATTACACTAGCGACATGATTAGGGTTACTGTTGAATATTCGCGCGGTTCTAAGATTAAAGAAATAAAATCAATTATCATCAAACTTTCGCCCGTACTTGAAGGTATCCGACAAAAAATGGTAAGTTATTTTAATGTTTACATATAATGTTCTTAATATATAATAAAAAGAGAAGAAGTAGAGAGAGAGAGAGAGAGAGAGAGAGAGAGAGAGAACTATATGGCAAATTTTATTATTTTGAAATACATTCCTATTCAATAAAAAGATTAGGATTATTATTTGAATAATCAGATTAAAATAGAATTACCTTAATAAACTAAGTTTTAGAGAATGTAAGTTTCTTTGTATTTTAATAAAACCTTATTTATTTGTTTCAAAGAAATCTTGTTAGATCTTTACATCATAAATGATTGTATGCTTGTTAGATTCAAGAATTTTGCTTGTTTATTTTTAAATAAATTTGTCACAGGTCGTAGAAGGAGGTCTCTTTGAAACTGAGATGTCGATGATGTCAGATACTTTAGATAAAATGAATAAATTGTTAGAGCCAAAGCACCGTTTGAGCGGGAAAATGCTCCATATTCAAAATGAAAATCCAACACTTCTGGTGATCGAAGATCTCGCATCTCTCGGCTTTCGAATGGCCGATCGGATGTCTGGTCTTGACTTAGATCATTCCATATTAGCACTTCGCGCACTTGCCAGATTTCATGCAGCTTCCGTAGCCTTATGCGAGAAGGTAAATCACCACGCGTAACTTATTATAATCAGTCGCAATATGTCGTTTCACTTATTAATAATTCGGAACGTTATTAATGTCACGAATGGAAAGATCATTCAGAACTTAAATTTACGCGTTAAAATAAAAATTTCTTAATTTTAAATAAAAAAATTCCATATAAAATCAGTGCAACATCATTTCACTTCTAAACGTCGAAAAAATTGTTGAATTTTAAGATCACGTGTGACATTTTATATTATCTTACCGAGAAGTAATTTATAATTATAATACAAAATACAAAAATTTCATTTTAATAATGTATTAAATTTAAAAGGTTGCGCTTTTTGTCATATAAGATTTTCTATTTTTTGAGAAGTAATATACTTTGCTGCGTTCATTTAGTGGTAGTGACGTTGGTAAGCAATTTCAAAATTTCTTAAGTGTCGTAAAAACGTCTAAAAAGTGTTTTATCCTTGAAAAAGACGTCCAAAATGTAAAAAATATCTTTAAGACTATAGTAGGTCTATTGTATAACATTTTAACAACAAATTTCTAGCTGGACGTATCGTTGTGTAGGTATATTACGTAGTGAAGAAATTGTATAATGACAGGATAACGATACCGAACGATTGTTAGTCAAAAGTTACAAAACAGGCTTAAAGAGACACGCTATAACGCATAAGGCCCCTTTGTGCAAAAAAATTTCGTTGCTTTCCTATATGTTTTTATTTAGCAATCTTTTAAATAAATTTTTTAATATACTTTTTAAAATTTTTAGAGAGAATGCATTTTCCTAATTTGTGTTTATAGTGCCGAAATAGCAAATCCTTCCATCTTCATTCAGTATTGGCACAAAAGTGAAAGATTTTATGGCATTGAATAGAAGATTAATCAGTACAGCCAAGGAGAAGAAATAGAATCAATATAAAATTACATAAAGATGTTATAATATAAATTACATAAAGATGTTATAAAAAAAATTATAATGAATGTTATTTAAGCTGTTTCCTAACTTTTTTTAAAAAAGGTCTTCTTGAGATTTGTAAAGACATTAGTAATATATTAAAATTATTCCCAGATCTTTATATAGCTTAAATATGTATTTGATGTTCCAAATTAATTTCTTGTCCACATTTTACAAATCTAATTATTTAACGTTATATATAAATGAATACATAAAAAATTTTAATAAAAATGTTTTAATATTTAGGAACCAAATCAAAAAAAGATGTATACGAAAGGAATATTTAGTAACCAGTATCCGTTAGAACAGAGAGATGTTTTTATTGATAGTACTATAGTTTTAGCAGACGAAGTTGCGAAATGGCCAGGAATGAAAAAGTAAGAGTTACATAAATGAAAATATTTATTGCTTTACTTTTTAGTTTTTAAGATATTTTATTATACATGGCACAAAAAATTAATTATTTAATTTGAAGAAACAGAACATGTTAAAAATAAAATTGCAATTATAAGAACAAATTACATTGTTTTGATTAGTATTTATATTATTTTTACATGCTTGTTTCACATAAATACATATATTTTAATTTTATTGCTGTAGATACTCGGAAAAAATTGCTAAACTCGCCGATCACATGTATCAAATAGGTTTTGATGCAAGCAAGTTGTGCGAGGACGAATTTAACGTTATTAATCATGGTGATTGTCATGTAAACAATATGTTATTCAAATATGACAATAATGGCAAACCTATTGATCATATTTTTGTAAGTACTGCACGTCATAAGAATCATGTACTTCCTCCAAATATAAGTGTTCGATACTTTTACATTTACTTTATTAAAATTATAGCTTTATATTGCGATTAAGAATGAAGATTAAATAAAACCATTCGTGAAATTTTTATTATACAGGGTGAGGCACCTAAAACAGACCATCTAAGTAACTCGCTTATTTTTAATGATGTGAAAAAATATTTCAGGTGAAAGTAAAACGCTATTGAGGGGGACGTATTTCAGTCATATTGTTTTTTGTCTGGGTGGAGACACTAAAAAGACATTAAGTTTTTAAGTAAAATCATACTTTTTTTACATAGTATAATTTTTTTAATAATGTTGCATACAAATGTACGAAGGTACAGAATAAGAAACCAATAGTTTACAAGATATTTTATACATTATTCTGACATATGTTGACATAAAATATTAAATATCTTGTAAAATATTGATTTTTTGATAATCGTATCTTAATATTTAATATTTAATACTTAATAAGATGAATCAATTGGTGTAAAGATAACATATCGAGTTTCACAAGGCTTCTCACCTCAAGTGCTCTAAAAGAAGTCATTGAACCTGTCACTAAGTAATTGCGTAATTGTTCTGAAATACTGTGCGCCAGAGAGCATGCCATTCCTTTATTTTTATTTTAATTAATCAAATTTCTTACGTAATTAATTCACGCGATGGATGAAACCAACTACTCAGCCACGGAATTGACAGAGGGGATGATTCGTATGAATGGAACAAAGTCTCTTTTTCCTTTGCGTGCGTGCGTGCGTGCGTGATGCACACATTTTATCTTCAACATAATTGCCAACATGAAAGATTGACGGACGAAAAAATTTTTTTGATTGCAGGTAGACTTTCAAATATGCGTTTATGGATCGCCGGTAATCGATCTTCTTTATTTCCTCAATTCAAGTCTTTCTCCCGATGTCATTGAAAACAAAAGACATATTCTATTAAATGAATACGTTGACACCTTATCGGCGACTATGAAACAACTGAACTGTAAGACTCATCCGCTCAATATAGAGGAATTGAAAGCTACGCTAAAGCGAAGGGCCAGCTTTGGAATGATAACATCCTTCGTCATTTTACCGTTTATGCTGTGCGATAAGGCTGAAGCAGTAGATTTGGATGAAATGTTCAGCAATGGTACTTATACAAATCCAGGTTTAAAGAATAAGAGTTTTAAAAAAATGTTGACGAAAAGATTGCCACTATATAATGAATGGGGTTTACTGGATTTATAATCTACTTTATATCTAGTATACATACTTTATATTTAGTAATAGAAAATGGAAGAGAAATATTTAGAAATTTATGAGAGAAAAGTAAAAATATCAGATGTAAATAGTTATAATATAATAATAATACATATGATAAAATTTATAACAACAGACGAAAAATATTTATGTGCCTTTTTAAAAAGAGGTGTTTTTTAAACAAATAATCGTGGAATTGTATATAATAACATATTTTTGGTACAAAAAATTTAAAATTAATTTTTTACAATGATTTAATTTTTGACTCATTAAAATTTTAAAATAAATCGTGATTTTTTAATATTTTATCAATATATTAGAAATAACGGTATATATAAATAAATCTACGTACATACGTTTTGTTTCATTATAAAGATACTGCTTAATTTAACCTATATTAACAAAGAAAATGATTTTTGAAAATGTTATCAAAACAGAAATGTATATATTATTCTATAGCACCAATGTAAAAATAATGTACAAATTAATTAAGATACGAAATAAAGTATTCTAATTGTACATATTAAAATAAAATGCGCATAAGAAAAGTTGAAAAATATTACAAAATAATAAGCAAAATGAAATAACTGGACCCTATATAATGATCTATGTAAGTTTTGAAATTTTTTATTATTTTTACTTATCTTAAAATATTGCAAATTGTTGGACAAAAAGTAAACATTCCTAAACATTTAATTTTACTGACCATCAGTTAAATTTAATTGTATTCTGGTTTCTTATATGTAATACTACGCTATTTACAATTATTATAATTGATTATTATTATTGATTAAGATAATTATTAATAGCAATTTTTTAATATTAAATTTATTTTAATATTGAATTTGATTTGAACTGTAGCAAGTGCTGCATTTGCTTTTCCAGCGATAACTTCTTCCTTCCATTCCTTAAGCGTATAATTGTAAGGATATCTATAACAGTAGAGGTTATTTTAAATGATGTTAAACGATTCATAAAATAAAACAAAGATATATACAATGATCAAGTAAAATTAATCTGTAGGAATGGAATACTTGATACATATTTTACAAAACTTTATCTACATTTTTATTTCAAATAACAGCATAATTGGCGCGTGGTTTTGGTATTTGTTCTCATGCAGCGTATTGTGTTTATACACATTCGGCGCGGCGTGTTACATTCAACTCAATTCAACTTTGAACTCTCTTTCTGATAAATCAGTGCCACTCCGAATATCTTCAGTATTTTTCTTTAGTGTTGCATTTGCGATAAATGCTAGATAATACGAAACGTCGTATTTTATACAATGGTTCACTGTACACAATTATTAGCTCGTACAATTGTTAGCTGATTTCATAAATAAATCGATAAATTTTTCTTTCGTTTGAATATAAATCTCGATTATACTTTGAACACAAAATCATATGAATTACAAATAAAATTAGCTTTAATGAAATCCTTGTGTAAATAACGGAATTTATGCGATTCCACATAGTTAATGCACTTTACGTAAATCCTAATAATAATAATTAATTTTCGTTTTTGTACATGTTTGACGATATTGATGAGTAATATATGAAAATTAAGTGTATTTTTGCGATTATATCTGCTGGAAATACCTAACAATAAGCCGCGGGTGACGGTAACATAAATCAAAAAATTATTTTTTCTTTTTATATCTAGTTTGATTAATCGAAATCGTATCTTACAGAAATTATAATAAAAGGTTCATCTTTTCTGTCTGTCTTGAATTTATTTTGTTGCAGTGATGACGAATTGACGCTTGTTTAATGTATTTGTTCTTAAAAGTGAAACATGAAATATTGTGTATTGCATTTCAGATGTCTTCTCTTTCATAAGTAACGACCTTTTGACGACATAAGAAGACCCTGTACTCCAAGGATATACATTATACTCGAAAAGAACAATTTTCTTTTAGATTTATTTAAATGATGTGTATAGAAAAATTTTTAGATTCTTGAGCAAAATCATAACCTTAAGTATAAAAATCTAATGATGATGATGCTAACGTACTCTCGTTGACAGTTTAAATGAACAATCAAACATCGCACGTTTCCCTCGAAAGTGTCGTTATAATTATAAATATTGTATTAATGAAGTATGGTATTTATGACTCTCGATATTCGATTGAAAAATTAATTCAAGGCGGCGGGATCATATCTTTGACGTAGATCCGACAATGAGGCATTGTTGAATGGCCACGGACATTGCAATGTCGGCATTCATCGTGTGTCTTGTATACTAGTCGACTATAACTTGTCGACTCTAATATATTTATGGTCTTCATTTTTAAATTATTCTAAGTAATGCTTTAATAAGCTGATATAGCTCTGTGATTGACTTATAACATCTTGAGAATGAGAGATAGAGAGAGAGAGAGAGAGAGTTGAAAAACGTTTGTTGCACATCAGATTGATGACGAAGTAAATTATTAAATTTTTTAAATATTTACATCTTAAATTGCATTTTAAAGTTGTTTACAAATATTATTTAGAAATCTTATTTTGACAAAACTATTGCATTATAGTGAATTTTTTTAGTGCAACTGCAAAATTGTTCACCAGTTCATGCTGCCACATAGGAATTTTATTACAATTTGCCTATCGGTGAGGATAAAGACTAAACAAAGGTAACGATGACTTGCATAAGTATAACGTTTACTGTGCAATTTTTTATGGAACAGCGACGTTTATTAATTTTTTGCAACGGAAAATATTGTACCTGTTATCGCTTATCATTGTTCTGTAGATATAGGGCTTATTGCTTGATTGAAGAACAAACTTGCCTGAGTTTAATGTTGACCAAGTCTTAGTTATTCAAGAATTTAATGAAGATGCAAAGCATGTGATGAATGAATATATGAATATAACGATGTACATATAAAGCCTATAAATTCTGTTCTGTGTGCATCATTTTGAAGCTGACTTTGTGGAATAGCACAGTAAAATTATTTAAGAAAAATAAACGACTAAAAACGAATAATGTCAGGTTAGTCACTTTAATGTATTGATTTTTATCAATACGTTATGTGTTTTCTTTTTCTGCATTAGACTGCATTAGGACTTTTTAGCTTTCACAAAATATTAAACATATATACGAGATAATTGATACACGGGGTATGCTAATAAATTTAAAATTACTGGAAAATAACAAATAATAATCGGTAATATATAATAATATTTCATAAAAAATATTGAATTTTGCAAAAACATTAGTACTCAATGTGACAACTAAATTTTCTGATTGAAATAATTATAATATCACACTTGTTTCATCATTAACATAAGTATTTTTAACTTTAGCTCAAGTACCGAAAAACTGGAACAGCGGAGGTATAGCCGAAAAATAAAGAAATTATTAATTCTGTTGCAATTAAGTTACTACAAAAAATTGTTTTTGTAACTCAGTGAGGACATAATTTTTTGAGAAAAATCTCCAATAACAATTCCATTTTCAGAAATGACCTTAGAAATACCGACATGGTTAAATCTATGCTTTGTGGAGAAGATTCTGCGAAAGTCAGAAAATGATAATTCGATTCAGGTGTTGGATATATCTTTGAAATCAGCCACGATGAAGGGTGATGGCTATACTAGCGATATAATTAGGATTATTGCTGAATATTCGAGCGGCTCTGAGATCAAAGAGAAAAAATCAATTATCATAAAACTTTCGCCTGTACTTGAAAGTAATCGAAAGAAATTGGTAAGTTATAATAATTTAATATGTACATATAATATAAAAAAAGAAAAACAGTGAAAAAGGTAGAGAAATAACTGTGGCAAATTATATTATTTTAGAGTGCATTTCTATTCAATAGAAATATTAGAACAATTATTTTAAAACAATTATAGTGATTAAAATGAAATCATCTTTATAAGTCAACTTTACAAACCAATGTATATTACCTAATATGTATTTTACAGCAAACGTTCGTCATTTTTCAAGACAAATATTGTTTAGTTAATAATTACGTGTTTTTGGATTAAAGGATTATATATCTTAAATAAACTTGTTACAGGTTACACAAGCAGATCTCTTTCGCATCGAGATGTTGATGATGTCGGATACTTTGCATAAAATGAATAAGTTACTAGGGCCGAAGCACCGCTTGAGTGGGAAGATCCTCTATATGCAAAATGAAAATCCAATACTTCTGGTGATCGAAGATCTCGTGGCTCTTGGCTATCAAATGGCCGATTGTTTGTCTGGTCTTGACTTAGATCATTCTATATTAACACTTCGTGCACTTGCCAGATTTCACGCAGCTTCCGTAGCTTTATACGAGCAGGTAAATCTTCATATCATCACATTTTTGTGTTAATTTTAACATTTTTGCATGTCTCAGAAAGTTGTCTTTAAGTTAAAATTAATATTTGGTTGTTTAGATGTAAAAACTTTTATTTTGCCATCTTTTACTATAAACAATCTTTACTAATAAAATACTTTTTAATATACATATCTTTAAAAATTTTTTAATTTTATTATTTAAAGAGAATATAAATTTTCAATTTGTTCTGGTACTGAAGTGTGGTTCAGAATATACTTTTGAACGCATTATACGATTTTAGTATGTTTAGAAATAACCAACTATCTGATCTAAAAAATAATTTTAAATTTTGTAATATGAATTTTTCAAATTAATATATGCTATTTTTATTTGAAATAAATATTCGTATAAAGGTCTCTCTCTCTCTCCCTCTCTCTCCCTCTCTCTCTCTCAGGAATGAAACATTTATTTTTAAAACTTAATTTGTCATACTCGTTTGTTCATACACTTTTGCTCAGTGCAGTGTATATATAACTTGCACACCTGCTTGGCGCGGAGCTAGTAGAAATCTGCTTAAAAATGTTTAAAAACGTCTCTTGTAAAATATCTTCGGTACGCTGTCTAAGCTGGCTCTCTAACTATTTTTCCAGAAAGAGATATGTTATAAATTCGTAAGGAAATTGTACATTAAAATTATTGTGTAGATTTCTTGTGTAGCTTATTGATCTATTCAATACAATAATCCAAATTTCCTGTCTCCATTACAATACTATAATTTATTAACTTTATAATCAAATAGTTAAATAAATTAAAACATTTCTTAATAAAAATATTTTAATATTTCAGGATCCGAAGCAAAAAGAAATGTATTTCAAAGGATTGTTTCATAATCAGCACCCGTCAGAGCTAAAATCTTTCTTCACTTTAAGTACTAAAGCTGTAGCAGATGAAATTAAGAACTGGCCAGAAGTGAAAAAGTAAGATTTACGTAAATATTTATTATTTTACTTTTTAATTAATGTCCATGACATTTTATGATACATTTTATAATACAAGGTAACTATTTAATATGAAGAAAACAAAGATGAAAAAAGTTGCAAATATAAGTATAAATTGCATTTTTTATATAATGCAAATATTTATATTATCATTACATAATTTTTTAACATATAATTTTACATTTTGGTTTTTATTATTGTAGGTACTCGGAAAAAATTGCTAAACTTTCTGATCATATGTATAAAATAGGAGTAAATGCAAGCAAGGTCTATGAGAATGAATTTAATGTTATTAATCATGGCGATTGTCACGCAAAGAATATGTTATTCAAATATGACAATAATAGCAAACCTACTGATCAGATTTTTGTAAGTACAATACGTCATAAAAAAATCATATACTTCTTCTAAACAAGAGTGTCCATTAATTTATTATAATACCTTTATATTCCTACTATAATAAAGAATTAAGACTGAATAAAATCGTTCGTGAAATTCTGAGTCTGTACTTATATGAGACGCGATTATTTATGTTGTTGAAATGGTAAATTTGTTTTAAAAATATATCTTTTATTTTTACAAATGCAAATTTTATCATAAACACAATTATCATAATTTAATCACTTTGCACCAATTATCTACATGTCTAAATTTTTATTATAATTTTCATAATTAAATAATTATGGTGTAAATTTGCATAATGATAAATTAAGTAAATGATTAATGTTTAATTGTATAAAAAACAAAAAAATATTGTACATGATATCGCAATTTAATTATCCGCAATTTTAACTCAAACAATTAAGACAAATAAACGCTGATGATACGGTATATTTGAGAATGGAATGTATTTTGAATAAATGCAATGTATATCTATTATAGTTTATTCGTATATTTATCAGATACATATGTATATTCGTCTGCTCGGGTAATCTATGTAAACAATGAACTTTATTGTCGCGGCTTCCTAAATATGATGTCTTATCCCCCCCTTTGTATGTGTACGCGTGCGTATGTGTATATATGATTGACAAATATTATTTCTAATAAAATTAACCTAAAAGATTCATGAACCAAAAATATTTATTTTATTGCAGGTAGACTTTCAAATGTGCATCTACGCATCGCCGGCACTTGATCTTATTTATTTTCTTAATTCAAGTATTTCCTTCGATGTCATGGAAAACAAGTTAGATATTTTATTAAATGAATACCTTAGCACCTTGTCAACGACTATGAAGCAATTGAACTGCAAGACGCAGCCGCCTACCATGAAAGAACTGAAGGTTGCTTTAAAACGAATAGCTAGTTTTGAAATGCTGACATCCTTTACCATTTTACCGTTTATACTATGCCCTAAGACTGACGCGACGGATTTGAATGAAGTATTGAACACTGGTATAAGTCCAGGTTTAAAAAGTGAAAATTGTAAAAAGATATTAATGAAAAGATTGCCACTGTATGACGAATTGGGTTTTTTGGATCTTTAATGTATATGGTACTTCACATTTAGGGATGGAAATTAAAATAGTAAACAAATTGAAATGTAGAAAATAAAAATATTATATATCAATGATTATAAGAAATACATTAGAGTTAATAATAATAGAAGAAAAATATTCATATATGTTAGCAACAAAACTATAATTTACAATTTTTTTTGTCGTTTTTAGCATAAAATTGATCGGTTTGTATTGCATTATTATTTATAAACGAATGAAAGTATAATGTGTCCATACTTCTTAAATAACTCTCTTTCATATTTCTTAATTTATGTTTTAATATTATATATCTTTATGCGTTTCTACATATAGCTTATTTAACTCTTGATTATGGACTGTAAATAAGTAAAATATGCTAGTTCATATTGTATCACATTATTTAACTACTTGTAACATTTTCTCCTATAAAAAGTGGCATCTTATCCGTATGGTATACATATAGGGGTAAGATGCCGCTTTTGCAACGTGTGAATTTTTTCCAATAATACGGAATATTATTACGTTTATTTGTTAACTTGTATAAATAAAGAAAGGTTTCTAGAAAATAACGAATACTTTTTTGTGCAGTCGATTAATTTAATAACGTTAAGGAGTTTTTCAAAAATAAAGGCTTTATATATAAATGGCGTCTTCCACCGAATTATCTTACGTATAACGTATATATGTGTTTTATAATTGAGCCTGCCTCGCCTGATACAAAAAATACATTATTATTTGTATAATAAAATCTTACTATATCTTGCAAGAAAGGCACTCTCCTTTTAGTAAAGTTCGCATCTGAACTTGCTGTGTTCTAAATAAAAAAGATCATTTAGAAATTTTATGCTGACAAATATACTGATGCGTTATGGTGATTCATCTTGGAGCAATTAAGTACAATTTTTTATTTGTTCCTGATGCTATTATTGTGGAATGGTTGCACGATTTGTCTATTGAGGAAGATGGAGACTAATCATAGAAAACGATGACTTGCACATATGTGGTATCTCGTCACGTTTACTGTGCGATTTTTTTCTTGGGGGCCAGACGATGTTTATTTTCTGCACCGGAAGACATTGCACGTGCTATTAGACATTGCACGTTGCTCTGTATAGATTATTATTTATTATTTGGTTAATTAAGAATACCCCATTTATATCAAATCTCGGTAAAAATATACTCAATCGGCGCAGTTACGCGTATAAAAATAAAAATTTGAGAAGAAAAAAGCGTCGTTTTGCCGTGAAATAATAATCATTAAAATTGAAAATTATTAAGGATAGACAATTGTCACAGCTAAGCCACACGAAATACTACGATGCGAGCATACGTTTGTGGTCGCATTCTCTATGGCTACATATGCATGAGTTTAGATATTTTTCACCGTGTTTTAGATATTTGTCTGCTTTAAAAACACAAATCCTTGGCTTTAAATCACAAATTCTCTGGTTTAGAAACAATTCTAATTAATATCTCGATTTATATGGCATTGCGACGGTTTTTCTTGTCAACTTTATTTTTACACAAAAACGTATCGATTGAATATACTTTTATCGAAATTGAAAGTAAATGGGATAGCTTTAACACTTTTAACATTTAAATCAATACAATAAGCCTGTAATAAATGAATAGATGAATGTACCGACATAGTAGATATAATGTCCGTTAATACCGTTCTGCATTATCATTTTAAAGCTGATATTATGAAACGAGACAGTGACGTAAGCACTTAAGAGAAATAAATGACTGAAATCGCAAACGAATAACTACAGGTTAGTCACTTTTTAGTGTATCGTTTATTATCAATACTTTAAAACACATATATCTTACTTCAAATTTTATAAAGTTTAGCTACAGAAAACATAATCTTTTTTTGTTCTCTTGACATTGAAATTTAGTTGAAGTTAACTGAGGAAAATTTTAAATAAAGTCCTTAACACATCGAAACATCATATTTCATAGTGAATTCGTTGTTATATATTGCAATTAAAAAATATGAGATCTTGAGAAAAGAAGAATTTATTTGCAAACATTGCGTAACTCGTAAATGTTACGAATGAGTATATGCCTACAGTGTACTGGACATGATGGGTGATGATCAGCGACGAGCGATAGCCAACTTTGCTATTCATCGTCACGTGCAAAGCAATTTATCGTCGCTTATTACGTTTACACAGTAAACATTAAGTATATTTCCAGTTTACACAGAAACATCAATTAAAAATGATATAACATTAGTATAAAATAGGGTTATAATTTTACAGTTAACAAAATAACTGTTATGTAAATCGCGTGTTAAATTATATTTAAATTGTTACTGTGAAAATCTATTTTTGTGTTTTGTAACTCGGCGAAAAGAGAATAGGATTTTTCGACAAAATTCTCCAATTCCAATTTCATTTTCAGAAATGGCCCTAGAAACATCTTCATGGCTAAATCTAAGCTTGGATAAAATTCTGTGAAAATCGGAAAACGACCACTCGATTCAGGTGACGGATATGTCTTCGAAACCGGCCACGATGAAGGGTGACAACAATACTAGCGACATGATTTCGCGACGGAAATTTTCGCGTGAATTTTCCTTACATCATCTATGCAAACTATTATAAACTATCAACTTTATCGTTGCGACTTCCTAAACATAATATTTCACTTCTTTCCTGATGCACTGATATTGTGACCAACGAAATTGTCGTAGACATAAAAGATTAACGATCGAAAAAATGTATTTTATTACAGGTAGACTTCCAATTATGTGTCTACGCATTGTCGGCAGTTGATCTTCTTTATTTTCTCAATTCAAGTATTTCGTTCGATGTCATTGAAAACAAGAGAGATCTTTTATTAAACAAATATCTTGGCACCTTGTCAACGATTATGGAGCAATTGAACTGCAAGATGCAGCCGCCCACCATAAAGAAACTGAAAGATACTTTAAAACGAAGAGCTAGCTATGGAATGATAATATCCTTTACCGTTTTACTGTATATGCTATGTCATAGAACTGAAACGAAAGATTTGGAGAAGACATTTTAATTATAATATAATAATAATAAAATGACTCTAAAATTTCTCGAATACATTACATGTATCGTTTATTGCAAATTGCAAAAGCTAGAGTTTTAGTATTAATGATACTTAATTCTTACATATTATTACTCTTAATTATTACTCTAATTATAACGAAAACTTAGTAATCGAAAATAAAATTGAAAAACTCGCAATTATTGTAAAATGATTTATGATAATACTTTCTAGACCTTATTTGTTATTCGTTTCATGAATTAATTATTTTTTGAACAAAAAGGTATCGCATGGGTGCTTGTCTTATCATTGTTCTTTTATTTTCATCAACGTTATTTGATGGATAAATCTGCATGTACTATTTACCAAGCTTCTACAGTTATCTAAGACTCTGATGTAAGTACAAAGCCTGTGATGAATGAATAAATGGATGTTCTGATGAAGATATAAAGCCTGTTATTTCATCTCTGTGCGTATCATTTTGAGGCTGGCTTTACGAAACAGCACAGTGAAATGTTATAAACATTTAAAAAAATATAGGACTGAATTCTAATTGTAAGACAAATAACTTCAGGTTAGTTGGTTTTACGTATTGTTCATTATTAATACTTTAAGTCTCTTTTTTATTCCCCCGCATTAGAATTTTCTTTGTACTTCCACGAAAGTACAAAAATATCAGATACAAAGGATGTTTCATTTTCATTATCTCAGGCGAATAACTCGACAAATGGAAAAACGACAAAAATAACTTGACAAAGTCTCCGATCGACGACTAAAATCTTTTAAGTGTTGTTCAGAATTATAACTACAGAGCCATTTGACGTTTTGTATCTCTTATTTTCATTTTTACACTAAAAATTTATTTTTAGCATTATAAAGACATTGTTTTTTAGACATTGCTCGTTGTTTAATGATATAGCGTTATATGAATCGCATCCTTTAAAAAAGAGGAGTTTAAATTGCGAACATTATGTAACTCGTAAACGTTACGAATAATTGTAAAATAGTAAATACAACACTGATATTACTTGTGTTATTTTATATTTTAACTGTAAAATGTGAAATTATAACTTATAATATTAAGATTATATTATTTTAAATTGATATTTATATGTATAGTGGGAAATTCTTATAGAATTTTATTATTTAGAATAATTTTACTCAGAACAGTATTTTTTAAACACAACTTTAAAACTATATAAATAATTTTCTATTTATATAATTTTTCCTTTAAATAATTCCGCATTCTAATATAATATAATATTGTAGAAATCGAATTTCTTATTCAAAGTTCTGTCGCAAATGACTATTATGTATTTCTTAAATCAAAGAATATAAGCCTTTTAATAAATATATTGTTCCAATTTGTCAATGCAAATAAAAATTGTTGTACTATTATAGACTAACAAGAAACGCAATATAGTATATATCTTATATAAAGGAGACAACCTTCGTAATACATAAAAATTTTAACATTTAAATTACTTATATACTGAGAAAAAAGTTGTTTATTTGACTAAATGCAGAATCCGGTTAGAAAAAAAGAAAACATGATAATAAATTGTATTGCGACTGAGTTATTGTAAAAAATTGTTTTTGCATTTTGTAACAGCGGGAAGAACAATAATTTGTCGAAAATATTCTCCAATTCCAATTCTACTTTCAGAAATGGCCTTAGAAACATCGACATGGCTAAATTTATACTTCGTGGAGAAGATTCTGCGAAAGTCAGAAAACGACAATTCGATTGAGGTGATCGATATATTTTCGAATCCAGCCGCGATAAAGGGTGACAACTATCTCAGTGATATGATTAGAATTACTGCCGAATTTTCGCGCGATTCTAACAATAAAGTTAAAGAGAAAAAATCAATTATTATCAAACTCTCACCTACACATGAAAGTGTTCAACAAAAAATGGTAAGTCAATTTATGCCCATTTCCACCAATATAGATCAACTTTAATCTCGGTTCAATTATTGATCTTCGTCTTTTTCTATAGTTCTAAAAATTAGAAAAGATGAACAGTAAGTTAAACCGAGATTAAAGTTAATCTACATTGGTGGAAACGGGCATTAATGTTGTTAAATTTTGTTTTTAATAAAGAGAGGAAGATGGAGAAGAAGGATGGGGGAGAGAGAAGGGGTGAGAGAGAGAAAGAGAAAAAAGAAAGTTATAACTGTGGAAATTTTATTATTTTGGAATACATTCTATTCAATAGGAAGATTAGGATAATTATTTTTTATCAGTAATTAAAGTAGGGATTCCTATTTCTTGAGCGCAAAAAGTCAATCCTTTTGGGATTTTTTTTTTACAAAAGCATACATTTTTCAATTCTGGAATATTGTATTCCGGAATTCAAATGTATTGACTTTATACTCTTTAGTAAAAAAAGATTTCCAAAAAATCGACTTGTTTTGCTCAAAAAAAACTTCTAATATAAAATCATTTCTATGAGTAAATTAAAAAAAACTAATATATATACATGTGAAAAAAACATTTATTATTTGTTTAAAATAAATCTTGAAATTTTCTACAAATTTTATATACCTATGATTTTTATACAGGTCTTTATATCATAAATAATTTCATGCTTGTTAGATTGAAAAATTTTACTTGTTTATTTTAAATAAACGTATTACAGGTCATACAATTAGGCGTTTTTCACACCGAGATGTTGATGATGTCGGATACTTTGGATAAAATGAATAAGTTACTAAGGCCGAAGCACCGCTTGAGTGGGAAAATCCTCTATATGCAAAATGAAAATCCAGTACTTCTGGTGATCGAAGATTTGGCGACTCTCGGCTTTCGAATGGCAAATCGTCTGTCTGGTCTTGACTTAGATCATTCCATATTAGCAATTCGCGCACTTGCCAGATTTCATGCAGCCTCCGTAGCCTTATGCGAAAAGGTAAATCATCAAGCGTAATTTATTATAATTAGTCATAACGTCTCGTTGCAATGATTACAAATTCGGATCATAGGCAGAATACAAGGATTATTAAAAGTTGAAATTTTCGAATAAATATTAAACATAGAAAGCTTTTAATATTAAATATTAAGATATTTTTGTTAAGAGTTTTAAAGTTTTAGCAGACGAGATTGTGAATTGGCCAGATGTGAAAAAGTAAGATTTGCATAAATAGCAATGTTTATTGCTCTACTTTTAATGTTTAGCATATTTTATAAATAATACAAGATAAGCGTTTAATATTTATAGGAGCCAAAGCAAAAAAACATGTATAGGAAAGGAATGATCCATAGTGAGAATCCGTCAGAAATGAAAGATATTTTCATTAAAAGCACTAAAGCTTTATCAAACGAGATTGTGAATTGGCCAGAATTGAAGAAGTAAGATTGCATAAATGATAATATTTAATGATTTACTTTTTTTAAGATATTTATATAAGATAACTATTAATATGAAGAGGTAGAACATGTTAAGGGGAAAAAAATATAAGTACACAAATTGCACTGTTTAGAGCGAATATTTATATTATTTTTACGTAATTTTTATATGACTTTACATTTATTTGATTTTTAGTACTAGATATTCGGAAAAAATTGGTAAACTTGCCGATCACATATATGAAATAGGATTGAAAGCAACCAAGTTCTGTGAGGATGAATTTAATGTTATTAATCATGGTGATTGTCATGTGAATAATATGTTATTCAAATATGATAATTATGGCAAACCTACAGATCAAATTTTTGTAAGTACCATCGCACGTCATACAAAATTATATACTTCCTCCAAACATGAGTGCTCATTAATGTATCATTTTTACGACTTTATATTATTACAAAAACTGAGATTAAATAAAATCATTCGTGAAATTTTTAGTACATACTCATATATGATACAACATGTGTTGCTGAAACAACACTTTTATTATATGAACAATTTAACATAGTTTATATATATATGTCAATCACTTTATTCCAATTATTTAAAATCTAAATTTTTATTATAATTTTTATTACACTGTGTGACCACAAAAATTTTCCAAAGGGCGCGTGGGTTTGGTTATGTCGGAGGCACGGCCCACTACCATTTCCCCAAGGGATTTGGCAAAGTTAGATCGTACAAAGATGGGGAATCAATTTATAGTTATGAATTTTGAGGAATACAGGTAGCGCGATTTGAGGTCAAATATATATGATAACAAATATACGCGCATGGTAATATTTTTTTCATCACTCTTCTACGCAAAAACGTTGCTGTATAGGGCACATTACGACGAGCACTTGTAATGAAAAATTCTATGTGTAGCGAGTGGGGGCATATTTGTTTATAATTCATTATGTTTATAAATCATTTATAAGCAGAGTTCCGGCCTCTACATATTTTTAATCAATTTTTTAATACCTGAGTCCATCACGACACTTGCAGAAAAAGTCACTTTTTCTACATGATGTCTTACTTCTTTTCTGATGCATACATTGTCTCCAAATAATTGCCGTAGACATAAAATATTGACGGCCAAAAAAATTTGTTTTATTGCAGGTAGACTTCCAATTATGCGTCTACACATCGCCGGCATTTGATCTTCTTTACTTTCTCAATTCAAGTATTTCCTTCGATGTCTTTGAAAACAAGAGAGATTTTCTATTAAACGAATATCTTAGCACTTTGTCAACGACTATGAAGCAATTGAACTGCAAGACGCAGCCGCCCACCATGAAGGATCTGAAGGATACTCTAAAACGAAGAGCTAGCTTTGGAATGATGTCATCTTTTACTGTTTTACAGTTTATGCTGTGCGATAAGAATGAAGCGGTAAATTTGGATGAAATGTTAGGCACTGGTACTTATATAAATCCAGGTTTAAAGAATGAGAGTTACAAGAAAATGTTGATAAAAAGACTACCATTGTATGACGAATGGGGTCTACTGGATCTCTAATAATACTTCACGTTAGTGATAAAAAAATAAATCATAGAAAAAAATGTAGGAAATAATGATATTAGATGTAAATAGTTATAACAAATTCATGAAACACATAAATAAAAAAAAATTCAATAAATTCTTTAGTATAAACTTTACACAACGTGATAATTAAGTTTTCAAATAAAAGGTCCATAATAAATGTACATAAAAAAGATTAAGAATATTTATTAATATCTATCTATGATAACCATCACATTCAATACAATTCTTGTCTGCTTTCTAGCATTGTTTACGATTATACAACAAATCTCGATTGTCCATAATAAAACTCCTTTCCTTGACTCGTCCTTGATCCTCTCTTCAGTTTGTTGAATCATCTGATCTTCGAATTCCTTTTTTATTGTAAATTTCAATTTAGGATGTTAAAAAAATGTTTCAAACTATATGTAAGCCCAAAAGATGTCATAAAAGTATCATAAAAATGTCTTTTGAGATATAAATGTCTAAAAGATATCATAAAGACATCTTCTAGATTTTCCTTGTTGTCTGACTGTACAGTCTACTTTAGCACCGACAAGAATTGCATTCTTGAGAGAAAAAGAGTTTAAATAGTACATGACATAGTACTTGTAATTTATAAAATTAATAATTTTTCGTTTCATTATTTAGCTCAACATCTAAAATTTCTTCGACATCTTATTTAAAGTATGAATCATGTACAAAAACTTTTGCATGCGTCTTCTTGGAAAAAAATGTTATTTATAAAATACTGTACAAAAACTGCGATATGTAATGAGTACTTTTAGGAAACGTGCTATCAGCGCTATTTGTATTATAAAACATACTATATCCTTGTGTCTAATGGATGGTGAAGATAAAATAGACACAAATAGCTTCACCTCGAACGCAACCATTACATGTTGAACAAACTAGTAGACAGTTGAAGACCAGAATTTATGAACTCACGTCAAAAATCACATAAGGAGAAATACAAGTACTCATTCGGTTATTACTGTATTATTATAGATCGATCATAATTTTAATATTAAGATACTAACACGATCATAATTTTAAATCAAATCATGTTGAAATTATAGCTGTTAAACAAAATTACGAGAAACAATCAAATTTCGAAATTACTAATAGTAAACAGTAAGAAAACGACATTAATTTGAATTTATACACGGAATTACATCTTAATCAATAATGTATTATTGCTACTTAAATATTCTCAAATTTATGTTTTCTGATAACATCTTTTTTACTTTGATCTTTCCAATCTCAACAAATCTAATCTCTCTACGATGATTTATAGTTTTCTTTATAACATATGTAACCGTCTCATACATCATTTCAGTACTCTCTTTAATATATTCTGTCCTTTATTTTAAATAAATGAAGAATACATTACGTTCCTAAGCTTATCTTTAACGCTTATATTTTCCCGATTAATTATCTTTTACATGATGGATTTAATTGTCAAGACTCATCTTACTTGAGACCATCCAACCTTCTAATTAGTTATGGGATAAAGACTTCCAATATCGTTTTTAAGTTGAATAATATAACCAAAGGAGTTACGTAGACGGATTACACAACATAATAAGTTAACTAATCAAAGGAAGAAAAGAAAAATCAATCTTTTCTTATTATACTCTTAACTCAAACAGCGATTTTAAATGCAGTAAAATACGGCCGTCTTAAATATGGACGAACATAAAGAAAGATACGACGATAAAGCAGATAAAGAAAATGTTCTGAATAAATAGTGAAGAAAAAATTAGAAAAACCGGAATTATGAGTTTGGAGGAAACTGGCTGGCTGGAATAAGAGGAAAAAACATAATAAATTTTATAAAGAAGAAACGGTCTAAATCGAGCGGTAATAAGATTTTTCATAAAATAAATTTCTGGTTTACAATGTCAATAAAACATAAAAATATAAAATATAAAATAATATAAAATTAATATCGAACGTTTCGGAACCCACACGAGTCCTTCTTCAACAATTTTTATCGTTGTTACAATACCATAGAGATGAAAGCATAATCTTACGTTCTAAGCGACATGATATAGTGAAATTTGTTCGAAGAAATTGATCCTCCTATTTTTGTGTGAATGTGGAAATTGTGTAATAAAATGTCTAAAAACAAGAGCATCTTTAAGTATTTGTCTGATTCTGTTAAGCGCAAGTGTTACATCAGATGTAATACTTAGGGATGCTCCTGTTTTCAAACATTTTATTACACAATTTCCACATTCACACAAAAAGAGGAAAATCAATTTTTTCGAACAAATTGTACCACACCATGTCTCTTAGACATAACAAGATTATGCTTTCAACTCTATAACATCGTAATATCGACAGGAGTCATTGAAGAAGGACCCGTGTGTGTGAGTTCCGAAACGTTCGATATTAATTTTATGTTATTTAAAATTTTTTATATATTTTACATTTTTTATTTTTATGTTGTATTAACATTGTAAAGTTACAAGAATTTATTCTATAAAAAATCTTATTACCCCTCGATTTAGACCAATTTTTCTTTATACTTTGAATTCCAATAACGAGCAAAGTCTAATTATACTAAATTTTATCGCGACAAAATTATTGTAAAAAAATCGTATTTTTAGTGAATGGGAAAGACAATGCTTTTGTTGAGAAAATTTTCCAATTCGAATTCTACTTTCAGAAATGGCCCTAGAGACGTCAACATGGCTGAACCAATGCTTCGTGGAGAACATTCTGCGAAAATCGGAAGATAATAATTCGATCCGGGTGATCGATATATTTTCGAAACCAGCCACGAATAAAGGTGATAACTACACTAGCGATATGATCCGAATTACTGCAGAATATTCGCGAGACCAAGACAGCTGTAAGATTAAAGAGAAAAAATCAATTATCCTTAAAATATTGCCTAAACTCGGAAGTGTTCGACAAAAGTTTGTAAGTTGATTTAATCAATTGTACCAGAAGATTTACGGGTTATAGCCGTGTCTTTCTTCATTCTTAATGCCGATGTTCCATGAACCATGCCGTTCACATTATCAGGGCAAGGGGTGCACTGATACTGGTTTTAATCACTTTTAATATTCCTAATTTATGGAGAAAAAAGGAAGAAAAAGAAAAAATAGGGAGAGAGAAAGAGAGAGACATAAATCTGAAACAAATTTTATTGTTTTCAAGTATATCATATTTAACAGAAAGATTTTAGAACAATTATTCTTGGATAAAAATAAATAAAATATATATTTAAGATTGTTAATCTTAAATAAACTTGTTACAGGTCACAAAATCAGGTCTCTTTCGAACCGAAATGTTGATGATGTCAGACACCTTGAATAAAATGAATAAATTGTTGGAGCCGAAGTATCGTTTGAGCGGGAAGACTCTCTATGTGCAAAATGAAAATCCAATGCTTATAGCAATCGAAGATCTCGCGTCTCTTGGATTTCGAATGGCCGATCGTTTGTCTGGTCTTGATTTAGATCATTCCATATTGGCGTTTCACGGACTTGCCAGGTTTCATGCAGCCTCTGTAGCCTTATGTGAAAAGGTAAATCGTCACGCGATACTTATGGTACATCATTTGCCCTTCATACAAATAAGTTGTATTTGAATTTCGAGAATCCATTAAATTTGTTATTTTTTATACTTACATCAGTTGCGTAACATGTTGTTGCAGATTATTAAAAATTCAGATCTTGGCACCGATACAAGGATTACTCTTGCTTTTAAAATGTCTCTCCAACATGTGTGTTGTCTGAGCTATCTCGTAACTTTCTTTAAAAAGAAAGATCTATTCTAAATTTGTCAGAAAATTGCATGTTATAGAATAGTATTACAATTATTGCGTAAATTTTTTATATATCTAAATATACGTATATAGTATTGCAAATTTTCAATTTGCTCTGTAAACATAACTATTTATCTTTATATTCAAATGATAAATATGTACATAAAAATGTTCTTTAATAAAGATATTTTAATATTTAGGAACCACAACAAAAAGAAATGTACTTGAAAGGAACATTTAACAAGCAGCAATCATCGGAAATGAAAGATATTTTTATCAAATGTACTAAAGGTTTAGCAGACGAGATTGTAAATTGGCCTGAAGTAAAAAAGTAAGATTTTTTAATACTCATAATAACGTTTTACATATGAGACAAGATAAATATTTAGTATAGAATCAGAAAATAGGGCAAATACAAATACATATAATATTATGCTGCTTAGAAAGAATATATGTACAAAATATGGCTTTTACATGAAATTCTTAGAATTTTACATTTATTTAATTTTTATTATTAGATATTCGGAAAAAATTGCTAAACTCTCCGATCATATATATCAAATAGGGATAGATGCAACCAAGCTCAATAATGAGGAATTTAATGTCATTACTCATGGTGATTTCCACGTGAACAATATGTTGTTCAGATATGACAATAATGGCAAACCTATTGATCACATTTTTGTAAGTATCATCATATTTATATTAAAAATATATATTTTTAATTTAGAAGAATGATTTTATCACACGCGCGCGCGCACCAAAGCTTATAGTCACATTATTTTATTAATCTGCATTTCAAAATTTTTATGATAATTTTTATAGTTCTGTTCAAACAATAATAATAAATTTCAATAAAAATAAACAAAATAAACTAAATAAATAGATAATATTTAAAAGAAAAACGCTATTACAATACTAATGTATTTTTTAATTGTCCGCAATGTCAGCTTTAGCGATTAAGATAAATATACGGTGTGCTAATATAGTAAAAAATACTTGGAAATACAATGTACAATATGTAAATAATGCAATAACCTCAGCTGTTTAATCGCATTCAGCTCATAATTTTTTTATCCATATCATCCGAGCAAATTATCAGCTTTGAAAAATTTTATAAATATGACATTCCTAAACATGATTTATCACTTTTGGAGTGAATAGATCTCAATTTTAATTCAATATTGCCGAGAGGTAATTCAAATTCAAAAGATTGATTGCGAAAGGATTCATTTGATTACAGGTTGATTTCCAAATGTGCGTTTACGCAACGCCTGCACTCGATTTAATATTTTTTTTCAATACAAGTCCTTCCTTGGATGTCATGGAAAACAAAAAAGATATTCTATTAAATGAATATCTTGACACTTTGTCAGCAACTATGAAGCAATTGAATTGCAAGACGCTGCCGCCTACCATGGAGGAACTGAAAGTTACCATAAAGCAAAAAGCTCATTATGCAATGATAATATTCTTCGTCGTTTTACCATTTATGCTGTGCTGTAAGACCAAGGCAACAGATTTGGATGAATTATTGAGTACTGGTAGACATCCAGGTTTCAAGAGCGAAAATTATAAAAAATTAATGATAAAAAGATTACCACTGTATGATGAATGGGGTTTATTGGACCTTTAAAGTTTGTTTCACATTTTGTGATATAAAATAAAAAAATAGAAAATCAATATAAATCTAGCAAATAAGTAAAATAATTAAATATAAATAGTTAGGTTACACAGCTTTTCACGCCAGTTTCGCCAATAATAACCAATATGTAAGGATGCGGTACCAGACTACGTATTAAAAACTGAAATTAAAAATTTAAAGTTTCTAAAAATTTAAGTTTTTAACAACTGGTATAAGCTCAATTTGTTCTTGACCTGGGAGGTATATTAAGTTTAATTTGGAAATTTATTTGAGCGGATATTAATTTAATTTAAAAATTTAAAGATTGTACCAATTAAAACAAAAGAAGTTAAAATTTCTTCGTCTTTATTGGTTAATTTTCAATCTTTAATCTCGAATCTTAATCTTTAAAAAATGTATAGATTGATTCCGACTTAACTTATATAAGAATTATTACTGCACTGTCCGTTGACATTATAAAAAAGATGGCTTATATAAACAGAACTGGATTATCATTGGAAGCATATACTATTTTATCTTAAACCTTATCACATATCCATTATATAATACTCCTTCTCCCCTTCCACAGAAGTCCCCCTTCTGTTTTCTTTGACGTATGTACAATTCCTTGCAGTTAGTTCTACTTCTTCGTTACTTTCGATTTACTAGGTAAAGCATTATACGTTCCGAGTTTAAGATAATAATAAAAAAAAATATATATATCTCTAACTTATAAGTACCTTCAATTTGCGTATTTGGAAATCTATATTGCTGTCTCACTTCCTAAATATAATGAATTAACAAGGATTGTTATTAATTTTTCATTTATGCATTTAACGTTTTAAAAATTTGGCGAGTGACTATATGTATCAACATCTGCGGTTATATCGTATTCAATTAATTTTATAGCTTTTTATTTATGTATAATTCCAAATTTTTCACTTAATTAATATGTAAGTCGATAATACAGAAAATTATTATATTTCGAATTTGTTAAATATTCTAATCAATTATTGATTTTGTCTATTCAACTAGTTTTTTATTCTAACAGTTAAAGTGATTTTGTTAAAATTTGTTAAAATATATCAATCACACACAGAGTATAATAGTAATCACAAGAATAACTGGCTTAATGCTTTTACGATTTTGTTGATATGACTTAAATTTTAATTAGCTAAATAAAATAAATCTTACTCGGATATATGTCTAATAATGAAAACATTAATTATTAAACTGGACAAAGTATAAAAAATTATTATACATATGTATTATATATGTATAATTGAAGTTCCCCTTCAAACATATGTTTTCGCGTTTTGTGTTAAAGAGACAATATATAATACGGTGAAAGAGGCAATATATGTATATAAATATATTGACAATATATATACAATAGAGACAATATATATAATTTATCGAAAAAATTCTCCAATTTCAATTTCAGAAATGGCTCTAGAAACATCGACGTGGCTAAATCTATGCTTCGTGCAGAAGGTCTTGCGAAATTCAGAAGGTAATAATTCGATTCAGGTAACTGATATATCTTTGGAATCAGTCACAAACAAGGGTGATAACTATACTAGTGACATAATCAGGATAATTGCCGAATTTTCTTATGACCTGCAAGGTGACATTAAGAATACAGAGAAGAAATCCATGATTGTTAAAATCTCACCTACACTTGAAGGTGATCGAAAGAAACTTGTAAGTAGATTTAAATTTAATTTATATAATATTTCTAATATGTAGAGGAAGAAAGGAGAGAGAAAGAGAGAGAGAGATTAAATTGTAGCAGAAATTATAACTTGTGAGAGATTTTGACTTTAAGACATATTACATTTTAACGTTATAAGATTATAAGAACGAATCATAAATAAAGGTCATTAAAAAAAAATATTTTTCACTTGTTTGATAACAAATTTATATGTAGAATAAAATTATTATTTATTTACCATCTGAGAAGCCGAAACTTTTTATTACAAAAAATGTTCTTCGTATACATAGATGTCTACATATTACAAAAAATTGTATATTGTTAGAATAAAAAAATCTATTATATATAATTCTATAGACAAAAAATCCCGTTGTTAATTTTAAATATAAACTTACAGGTCACACAATTAGGTTGCTTTCACAGTGAGGCATTGATGATGTCAGATACCTTGAATAAAATGAATAAGTTGTTAGGGCCAAAGCATCGCTTGAGTGGAACGATTCTCTATGTACAAAATGAAAATCCAACACTTTTAGTGCTCGAAGATCTCGCACCTCTTGGTTTTCGAATGGCTGATCGTTCGTCTGGTCTTGATTTAGCCCATTCTGTATTGGCACTTCGCGGACTGGCTAGGTTTCATGCAGCCTCTGTAGCCATATGCGAGAAGGTAAATCATCTCACGATCAGTCGTAAATTCCATTTACTTAATACTGTACGTTAAAAATTTATCTTATTACTACAAAATATATCTAATATTATAAAACTAAGTACTATAATACTATAAAACTAAAATGCTGTGCCCTTTGTTACATCCTATGCGGATTTTTTTGCTTATAAGAAATAAATTAAAACTTTATTGTGTTTATACTAATGACGTCAAGTAACAAAAAAAATTCTGGTTATATGAAAATTATTTTGCATTGCATAATATTATTTTAAATTAACATTAAAATCTAAAAAAAAATAGGTTTTTTCTTTATAATTTGTATTTATTATTATTAGTTGTTTGGTTATTCATCTTTATTGTTTTAATAATTAAATTTATAATTTGTCTTAAGTATAATAACAATTGGAAATAAACATTTTTTGGTTGTTTCCAAAATGGATAAACATCAATATCTTTTAACAAAAACATGTTAATATTTAGGAACCAAAAAAAAAAGAAATGCATTTGAAAGGTACATTCAACGACCAGCACCCGCCGGAAATGAAAGATATTTTTATTAAAAGTACTAAAGCTTTAGCAGATGAGATTGCAAACTGGCCAGAAGTGAAAAAGTAAGATTTGCATAAATTGCAGAAATTAATTGCTTTATTCTTCAATGTTTATGATAACGTTTTATATGATACGAGATAAGTATTTAATATGAAGATACTGAACATGTTAAGTAAAAAATTGCAAATATAAGTATAGTATAGTTTTTCCATAATTTTGTACAATTTTGTGTTTATGTGATTTTTGTTTCTAGATACTCGGAAAAAATTGGTAAACTATCCGATCACGTATATCAAATAGGAGTAAATGCAAGCAAGCTGTTTGAAGATGAATTTAATGTTATTAATCACGGTGATTTTCAAATGAATAATATACTGTTCAAATATAACAACGATGGCAAACCCATTGATAACATTTTTGTAAGTATTGTCACGTCATTAAAAAACCATGTACTTCTTCTAAACATGAGTATTCATAGATTGATTATAAGCGCAACTTTATATTACAACTAAGATTAAATACAATATAAAATTTTTGTAAAATCTGATTTACATTTATCGGAATCTAATTTATATTATTGAATGACGTTAAGTGACGTTCCATTTCTTTTGTTGTGAATAAATTTTATTTCTAATCGAATTGGTTCAAAAGATTGATCGAACAAAAAAATTTGTTTGATTACAGGTAGACTTTCAGATGTGCGTCTATGCATCACCGGCACTCGACCTTCATAGTTTTCTCAATTCAAGTCCGTCCCTAGACGTTATTGAAAACAAGAGACATATTCTATTAAATGAATATCTTGACACCTTATCGGCGATTATGAAACAACTGAATTGTAAGACGCTTCCGCCCAGTATGGAGGAATTGAAGGCTATCTTACAACGAAGAGCTAGCTTTGGAATGATAATATCCTTTACGGTTTTACCATATATGCTGCGCTGTCAGACTGAAACAGATTTGAATGACATAATAAGTACTGGTTCTTTTATGTATCCAAAGAGCGACAGTTTTAAACAATTAATGATAAAGAGGCTGCCATTATATGATGAGTGGGGTTTATTAGATCTCTGATTTATACTTCACCATTAGTGATAAAATATAAAAATTTAAAAAAAAACTAAAAGTAACAAACATGCATAATCGTAGTTAATACATTAAAGTTAAACATTAGATACGAAATGTTTATGTAAATAAACTTTTATAAAAGGAAATGCGGACTAAATATTTTATAAAAATGGTTTCCAACAGCACGGAAAAAAGTTACGGTTGCCACAACCAATCTAAAGCCGTAATCACACTACGGGTTGCGCGCTCTGTTGCGATTGAGATTATGGTTGAATGTTGAATTGAGATTACGCTTAATATAGTTGTCTACACCAAACGTAAACGGAGAACAAAGTTTATGAAATCAAGAGGGAGATACGTCAATATTTTACTCGACGACGAGAACTATGAATATATGAGTGGTCATGTAATTGACGGAAGAAATTTGCTACCCGCGACAGTTATTCAGTACTCGTTTGAAAAACTATTGGTATCATGAAGGGAGTAATGCACACAACGATACCAATAGTTTTCCGAAATGTAACATTTATTCGTGCTACACATTTGTCGAAAAATTATGCTGTAGGACAATGTATTACAATACAGACAGGTATTTACAAGATGAGTGATTTTAATTATACATAGGTAATCGATATTTTGTCAGAAATTTCCTTAATAGTATTTGCAGGTACCAAAAAAATGTGTACTTTAAATTAATGTATAAATATATGTATTACGCCATACTTTACAATATAGTTGAAAAATGTCTAAATGTTTCTAATCGATTTTTAGCGAATACTGATTACGGTTAATACATATATTACGATAATAAAAACGCAGTATAGTCAAATATATGAAAATGTTACAGATGGAAAATTTGAAATAACCGAAGGAAATAGCGTTGTTGTCACAGGTTGGTGTACGAGACATTGAATGCAGAACAGGAAATGATTCCAACAGATCTGTTATCGGAGAATAATGATGAAAAAACAATACATGATGGCACGAGATATCTACACAGTTGAAATTACGTGGATACCAGTAAAGCGGCATGTTTCATAGATTAAGGAGTGCCTCTATTTCGAAAACACGAGGACAATCTTTTTCGTTTGGAAAAACAATTAGGAAACATTATGAATAATATGTTACAGATATAAATATATATAGCTATCTATACGTGATCCGAGAAACGTATGTTACAACCTAATAAATGCATTTTGTTTTATTTTTTATGTCTAATTCTATGTTAGCAAAAAATTATATTTAAAAAATGTCTATAATATTTAGAAATTTTATTTTTTGTACATACAAAAATATAAATTGTTTTACAAAACGTTAGTGTGTGTGTATATACATATCCATGTGCAATGATTTTACTTAAAATTAACTAGTTTTTTATTCTAACAGTTAAAGTGATTTTGAAAATTTGTCTGCTTTCACAATGATTTTACTTGAAATTAGCTATTTAAACTTGAACTGATTTGATATTTGTTATAAAATGGCGATGTATACCGCTGTTTATCCGTCAAGTGCCGGTCAATCTCAAGCCGAAACTACCGAAGATACGGAACGCACTGAAATAACTGTGAAGAAGAAATGTCTCGAGCAAGGATTCACAGAGCACGATCTCTGTCCATTCGTAAGTACACAAATATAAAAAATAGTGTATCATTGACGGATCAAGCATTTTCTTATTTAACAAAAATTGTTGCTTTTCTTTAAGAAATTACAGTGGTCCTTCGGATTAAATTCAGAAGTACCGGTTGTAAATCTAACTACTAAAAATCGTACGTTATTGGCGTACGCCTGTTCGCACGTGGCTGTAATTTATGACTATAGTTCGAGGAAAATGTTACCACTCCTAGGTCACGTTGGTATACGTTTGAGTTTGTCGCGAAACGATACTGATTACTGACAAATAATACTGAAGAAAGATCTTATAATCCTTTTTAGCGAAATCCTGTTAAAACGTTATCGACCTCGCGTGACGGCAAGTGGTTACTAACAGCGGATTCCGGAGAGGACAGTGTAGTAGTGGTTTGGGACACAGAAAAGGGGTAGAAAATGTTTTTTCTGCAGTTATTTTGCAAAGTTCTAATATTACTCTTTGTGGCTAGTATTACTTTGTGACTTATGTATTAAAAAGTAAGTGGAATTATTAACATTTTTAGGATTCCCGTTTGCACTTTATTTAATCCACATAATAATGAAGATATTACAGCTGCTGGTATTAGTCCTAATGCTAAACAAATAGTCACCGTTAGCAATGGCAAATGTCAGAATGTGCATTTCTGGTTATGGTCTTATGGAAAAGACAAACCAGATGGTTCGTTATCTTCTGTACATTCATTAATTATTTTTCTCGTCCTAATATATTTGATGCGATATGAAAATCGAAGCATTAATATATTATTTCATATTATTGTCAAGAATTTTGTATCCCTTTTATATTATTATTGTATAATTATTATTTATCAAAAGCAAAAGATGCGATTATTATAACTAAAATTTTTTAAAATAATTCAGAATTAGCTAATCTAAAATATTTTTATTAGCATCGACTTCGTTAGTCAACATTACTGAACGTGTTAAGGGAATAACTTTCAACGACAAATGTTCGGAACAATTTGCGTTGACGACTGATTATCATGTTTTATTCCTAATTTGGGTTGGTAAAAAATATATTATTATACTTTATATATGTATAATCATGTTACATCTTTTCGTTTCCTAACTAAAATAGATAGTTTAAAAGAATCATTGATATAATAAATATCAGAAGTAGAAATTATAATAAAAATGAAAATCATAAAGTATGATCAGACATAAGACTTTACATATAATAAAATAAAATATATTTATGTGTTTCTTCTTAATTTCATAAATAAGAATGGTCACGCTTTGAACTACGATTGTCCCAAAGTTATGGCAAAAATTCAACGTATTGGTGTCTTTAATGCATCATGCTACGTATCAAAAATACAACAAGTATTTACAGCAAGTACAAATGGTATCATCTGTATTTATTAATAATTTATTAATAACTTAATTACTTATCAAATAAATATTCTCTTATAATGCTATTATTTTAGGCTACATTTTAGTATGGGACAACGTTTCTTGTGAAGACAAGCACACTTCTGATGATACTAATTGTAAAAAGAAAAAACACAGAAAAACTCTTCATTTACAGAAAAGCAATATTACTGTTATTATTGATAACGAAGGGTAAATTTACAGTCTAAAATTATTTTAATAAATCTGGTAATAGTCATACTTTTTAATGTAATTTAATTTCGTAGTATGCTTGTTACGGGAAATACAAATGGTCGTGTTACTTTCTATGATTACCAATTGAGACTTTTGTATTGGTGTGAAAGTCTTGATTCTATTCGATGGCTAAGCTTCGATCTTCAGTCTAATTTGTTACCTCCGGTATTTGTCGTTGATGTATCTAAAAGTAAGCTTTATTTTGAAAGAATCCTCTGATAAAAAATATTCTTATAATATCTCTTAATAATTTTACAAACTTTTTGTATTTTTTAAATTTTATGAAGCTTCTTAAAAATAAACTTTTACAAATTTCTTAAATTTTTAGAAATCATAGAAGAATATCTTTTAGAAAATAGAAATTTTTATAAATTTCAGAATTTATATAGTATTAATAATTATTCTAGAAAATATGCAGATATTTACATAGCATTTCTGAAAAAAGTTCTATCTCGTGTAAAAAATCTTCCAAAAAAGATTTCCTAAAGAATTATAAAATTATACAGAAATTTAAAAAAATTAAATAATTTATGTAGAAATTTTTTAAAATTCAGAAATTTACATAGATAACTATTATTGTTTATATAATTTGAAAGATTATATAAATTTATAAATAAATTTTAAGGAGAACATGCGCAATGAGATTTTGACCAATAATTTACTTATATTATTGGTTATATATTTTAATAATATAGTCAATGTTAATGAAATCACTTATTAAAAATATTTAAAAAATATTATGGTATCGGCAACATAGTATCCTTGAGAAATGTTTTATTAGGGTCTTTCCAATATCTCTCTTATGTATCTTGACCCAAAAGTCATTTCTTCTTAAATATACTTTTCGCTTTGATGTCCGGGAAATAGAAATAAAAGCATTATTATGCATATATCGATATGCATGATAAAGTGGAAAAATAGAGTACGGATCATGATATATTAATATATATTTCTATATAGTAGACGAGCGTCAAGATGACAGCAAAACGGAAACAGTTTTAAAACTGAATGTCAATGCAGAATATATTTCACAAAATTACAAAAGTGATAAGACCGCCGAAACTAACAAAATAATATTGAATTCTTTGCCAACGGATGCTACTCTACAAAGCTCTCCATTTAATATTCGAAATTTTCTTGCGTGTAAGAACTTCTTGCAAAAATTACAATATTATATGAATTATTTAATGTTAAAACAGCAATATACATATTACATATATAACACATATATAACACATATTGCTGCATATATTACCGCATTCTTCTTTTTATCCACATTTCGCTTTAGGTTCTTCTACGGGAATAATAGCATTAATAGAAATTCCGAAGCAGAAATGTCACTTGGTGTTCCGTCATCCGGCTGCAATTGTGACTAGTATGGATAGTCATCCAGAAAGGTGGGAAATTTTCAAATACAGAGACTTAGCAAGATTCTGTTGAAATAAATATAGTATAAATAGTAATTTTTCAACAACAGCAACTATGTAGTTGTGGGCGACGTTCATGGAACCGTACATTTATACAATTATGAAAAGTGCACTCTGTTAATATCTAGAAGCATACCACGTCTTCCAGACTATCGGCCAATTCTCGAAAAACAGATGATTGAGGAAAACATTATTTATGTCACCTGTCCGCAAAGGGAGCATGAGACCGCGAAGGCCGTTACGGCTCTAAAATTCTCACCAAGATGTATATAGATGATGTATACTGATGAATATTTAATGTCTCTTTATTATTGTAAAGGGAGAAAAGGAAATTCACGAAAAGAATGCTTATCATCTGTTTAGGCGATATGCTAGTGTGTGGCTTAAAGAACGGGGCAATCTGGATTCTACATCATATCACCTTAGATCCTATAGATGAAATTCCATATAAACATTCTTCAACAGCTATTAGTAAAATTACTTTCACACGGTGTGCCGAATATATGGCTTATGCAGTAAGAAAATTCTGCATTCCACGATATTTCGTGAATAATACTGCACGTTATGACAATAAATTTAATGGATTATTAATTAAATAAATTAACCTCTTCTAAAGGTCAATAAAACAAAATTTATTTGTAGGATAACGCGTTGACTGTAGTAGTATTCAAGAGAAACAGTACGAAGGAGTCTAATGTGTGGAATTTGATCGGAAAATATCACTCACATTATTTACCTATCAGAGATATACTTTTCGGCCCGGCCGCATCCGATTCCGATGCACCGCGGTTTTTCTCTTTGGGAGAGGATCGAGAGCTCGTCGAATACGATCTCGCGCACAGGTTGTATTGTAAATGTCCTATTGTGTTATGTACTATAGAAATTACATTTGGTACAAATTTTTATGTACGTAAATGTTATTAAAAATTATGTTTTTGAATGAGATTTATAATATAATGGAATTATGTAATCATATAGAATAAAATTATATGGACAAAATATCATGTATAAGATAGTAGAACAAATATTTATTTCAGAATCATTAAGAGAAATGTGAAACATGATTTTAATAATATTTCACTTTTATGATTTCTATATTTTAATCAAAGATGTATTTCCAAAATTTATAAAAATTATTTCATGATTATATTATTCAAAAAAACTATGTAATTCATTAATCGCGTAGCGATTACAATTCTCTCTATAGTTAATTAATTAAGTATTTGAAAAAGATAGCAATTTTTCATTTGAAGAGAGGATAACGTTTTGTAATTACATTACAGCGGACCATATCCAGTGCCAGGACTTCAAATTTTGCGTATCGATCAGATCGAACAAAGTGCCGTTCCTCTTTGCCTAGCATGGTATCCTGTATCCGGCATTGAAAAATTCCTCATGATCACAAATTCTGAAGTAATACTTAGTCTTGCGATTCGTATAGATCATGTGAGAAAAATGTAATATCTCAATCTACAATTGCAGTACAAGTATAAGATCTTTAGTGATACTACCAAGGCAATTCGTGGAACTTACTTAGGACCCACGTTCAAAAAACCAGTAGAACATTTTCAAGTAACACACGAGATATATAAGATATATATATAACTGTTTAAACAATTCTAGAAAAATAGAAAACGTAAATTATACAGTAGAAATATTGAAAAAATATTCTAATAGATGTAATTAAATTTTAAAAGCCATGGAAATAATAAAACGTTAAGTGATCATAGATATCAATGAGTGTTCCAAAATTTATTGCCAATACTAAAAATGTATAGTGCACGTGACGAAAACTATAGAATTTCAGTACTAACAGTAAATTTTGGAATGCAGCTAATATAATACATAAGTAAATAATTAAACCGTCTTTTTTTCTTCAGAAATATCCATTAAATATTTTATAATAACACGTATAAAGTAAATAATTAAAGAACAAATAATTAAAGAACTTATTTCTAAAAATTTAAATTTAATTCAAACTTTCCTTTTTCTTCCTTTTTTTTATCAGAGAAATATCTTCAATTTGTAATTAATTAATTACTATATTAAAAATCGCTATAATATTATTAGATTTTAACCGACAAATTTATTGACAACGGCTATGCGGTATTTGCGACCGATAGAGAAATTGGTCTTCAGTTAATGCCTTTCGATGGTAATCCGTACAAGATTGTCGGCATGACAGGCCATCCTCAAAAAGTTAGATATTCTCTATGCATATTTACTTTTAACAATTGGCATACACGATTCATTTTTATTTACAGATAATAGGTATCTCTGTCAGCAACAATAAGGAAATACTTTTCACCGCAGGTTACAATGATCCTTGTGTATTAATGTGGAAAATACAACTGAAGTTAGTTGCTTCAATAGTAAATTATGTAAAAATTTAAAAAATCACGTACATTTCTTCTACTTCAACAATCTACATTACTAAAATAACAAATCTCTCCTCTCTTGCTTCCTATAAATCCAAAAAGTACAATTCTATTCTTAACGATCTTTTATTGGCAATCTTATTATTTAATTAAACATTTCTAACAAAAATTAATTTTATGATAATTAATTAAAACAGTTTTACAGTTTAGTACTTCATAAACTGAAAAAAAATCACTGATTATTGTGTAAACACGTTCTATAAAATATGAATATACGAACAAAAAAGATTCATGCACTGCAATTGTGTGTAAAGTTAAACTTCTTGGTTCTGACATCATCGTTTAATGACTTTAACGGCATATAAATAACGATTCTTATCATTAAAGAAACAATTTTTTTTAGATCTGTTGACGTAATGGCACGATTAGGCGGAAAAGATCTATCGCCGTTTTATTGCCTTATCAAAGGTGGGAAAAAAGGATGGTTAGCAAACGAGATGAAGGATCTGTTCTATTATGCGCAGATATTACATCAAGGCGAGAATACGACCGCAGCTAGAATCGTCTCCGACACCGTAATTGTCGAGCAGATTCCAAATCTTATGCGAGCTATTGGATATTTTCTGACGAACAAAGAAGTATACTTTTGCAGTATCATGAAGCATAATACCTATATATATGCAATTTTTCATAAGTCATGATTTTAATTTTAAATGTTGAATTCTTTGACACTAACTCCGGAGATATCTTTTTTTTAGACCTTTCAAAATTTCAGTTACTCTTATGATTGAAATTATTTTTCAAATTTTTTTACACTATACATCTTTTTTCTACAAATTAAAAATTTTCAAATGTAAAATTATTTGTCAAAGTAAACAATAAGTAAAACTAAATTGTTTTTATAACTAAGGCAAAATATCTGTTTTTAAGATAGAGAATATCATGACAGAAGTATGCTATAAACATTACACTGAAACCGGTAAACTTGTCGAAGAGATCACTTTTGAAGAATTCGTGCAACTGTATGTGAATCACCGACCGGCGTTTGGAATTTGCATGCGCCACATAAAGGAAGCTTTTCATACATTTATCGAAGAGAATTCCGACAGCATGGATCCAACTTTAACACGAGAGCAGTTTGTAGATATTTTACTCGGAGGAATAATATCGAAAACTTTAATGGAAAATGATAAACCTATCGGTAAATTAATAATTATAATAGTTAACGTAAACTAACTATTATGTATTATTACGTACCATTAATCCTTCGGAACTGATATCAAAATCTGTAAAAAACAGATACATCTATAACATATTTAATTTATGTTTATTAAAGACCACTAATTCCAGAAAGAAATCAAAATGATGTAATTTGCATTAAAAAAAAAAACTGAATTTAGATCCATATTCTTTAAGTACATATTAATAAGAATAATTCAAATTTTTGAACGTAACATAAAGGAAACTGAATTATTTTAACAGATTTATATTTGAGTGAGCCTAATAGATCTACCGTTAATTTCGAAAAATTAATTGATGTATTTATTTATTGATTTCGCCAAAAATATAATCATCAAATTTTTAATCTAAAAAAATGCAGGATTATAATAATGTACTAGAGACCATTATCTCCTTATTTAATACTTTATTAATCCTGCTTCTACTTAGATTATATATTGTATCATAAATCAAGTGTAAATTAGTAAATTATTTCGAATAAATAAGAAAACATAGACTGTATTCAAATTTGGATAAACGATATGTATAAAAAAATTGAAACTAAACTTGCAATACTTTTAAAATAAATATCTTAATAATGGTTCAATATTTCTCTTATTATTTTTTTTTATATTATTTGCCATAGGTGAACCGTTGACTTTGCAAGAAGCATATACATATCTCAAGATACTGATGTTTCCTAAAGAAGAAATGGTTGAGACTCAACCAAGTTTGTCTCAAAGATCCGTATCCTTCAATTTTCGTTTCCTTCCGGCGGTAACTATCTCCCTCATAATACGTTTAAAAACATTATGCAAATAGGCATAAATAAGATAAACTAGTCATTAGGCTTCCCGAGAGTAATGTATTATTACGTTATGATACAGAGGATATCTTACAAAGATTTCACCATGGATATCATGGGTGTTGAATCATTGGAGGAAACTATGGCTGACAATTGAGAAAATCAGCACGACGGTTACTTGAAGTATTCTAAGAGGAATTTTTTACAGCTATGTACCGCTGTGACAAGGTCCGTTAAAAAGAGATTAATAAATCAAAAACAAAAACTGCGCGCGCGATTGTTTGTTCTTTTAAAGTTAAAATTAAGATTAAGAAGCGCTCGAATAAAACGCTGGCAGAATCGTCGCCAGAGTCCGTCATTTGCTTCTTCGGTTCGCATAAAAATATTTAAACTATACAGCACACGAAACTCTCGTACTTGTTGCTGTAATACTGTTCAGCAAAATTTTTAATAAACATTTTGTAATCATTATTTCTAATATTACAGTACTTGCAATTACGCGTTATTTTAACAATCAACAATTTATAGCCAAAGAACAATGTCTATCTGCCTATTCGCCGATAATCCCGTACAATAAAATTAATACAACCACAGATAATTACCATAGACCGGCTTTTTCTACGTTGTAGAATTGTCAGCGGAAGAAATGTTTTGTCCGTTAAAAGAATAAGATTTTATTCCGAGACAATACCTATATGATAGACTAGAAGCAAGGAAAGATTCGCCTTCCGAGAGGTACATTGCTTTAAGGAAGCGCTACACAACAATATTCGCTATACCGTCGTCATTAAAGAAACCAATCAATGATGTTGAATGTATATAGCGATTAAAAAATTTAGAGTAGTTTGATTATCAATAAAAAAAAAGAAGACAATCATTTCTGTACCCACGGTTTTAGAAAAATTAAAAAGACCGGGGTACAGATACTGCCAGAAATACTAATCGCAAGTCGAATTGCAATTAGGCGTATCAAGTGGAGATCCTAAGATTCGTAAGACGCAACCCTGCCACATTATTAGGCTCGCGTACGATTTCGCATCATTATCTATACTATCACCAACAAGGTATCATTAAACACCGACTTATACAAATTTGTAGGATTCTTGTGTTAGCTTGTAATATCACACATTAAGTTTATTCCACTGAATAATGAGAAGATTCAGATTAATCGATCTGGATGTCAGTGATTAAATAATATATATAATATATATGTAACATATATATGTATATATCGAAATATTATTTAAGCACTACTTGTAAGATACATTCAGACATAAGACCTCGTTATTTAGTTGTGTATTTATATGCGGTCTAATGTTATTAATTTTATTATTATATAGACATCTGATAATATTTATTACATCATTTTTTTATTTAAAAGTTTATTTCCATCCACGTTCATCCATGTAAATGACAGAAAAAATGCAGTTTTCAAGAACATACACATATTGTTACTGTAAATATATAGCGAGACACTACCGTGTCTCCAGATTATATATATACTTATTTATATAAAGCATCTATATAATAATAAAAAAAATCGTCAATTAATTTAATATTGTGTTGTACGCTAATTCAAATTAGTTGAAAAAAATTCTTGTTAATAATGATACCTTGTCGGTGATATTATCTACCTATCTACTTATTCATCTATCTATCAATGCTATGTATTTATACATGACACCGTCATTAAAAGAAGTACAAAGAAATGTACACAAAAAACCTCATTTCATTCTTATAATTCTAAGACGTATTTACATAGTTATATATACAAACACTGTATGTATCGGCTTAAGAAAAATATCAACATGGAACAGTGTAGCAATATTTTTTTCTTTTCATATGCTCGTGAAAAAGAAAAGAGGAAAATTCTAATATTACGCCTAAAAAGCAACGCTCAAATTTGGTAATAACATGCCGTTGTCATTAAAATCCCGCGTGGCAATTATCAATCGCAGTACTCATCGTTTTGCACAATATCGTGTCTTTTTCTGCAGTCTGGGCAGTACCACCTGCCCTTGGGCGGCACCATTATACCAACACATTCAAAATGAAACCACTCAATGCGGCAGTCTTCACCGTCACAAGCTATCATCTCTGATACCTCATCGTATGGACATCGACAATAACAATAGATCTTGCCGGGTCGTTCCGCCGTCGGCGCGCCAACAGGCAATATAGTCGGGTTGATTTTCGACTGATTTACAATATTCTCCGTCTCAGATTCGCTGCTATCGCTGCTACTCTCCGCGTGACCCTCAGACTCAGTGGCGGATATCGTTGTGACGATTGGCGATGCCTCGGGTAGAGCCGTTTGCTGCTGGATCACTGCCTGCTCCACCTGAGCGGACCTGTTACCATACGTTTGTATAGTCTTTCCGCTCAAGGACAATCTCGACACCAGCGGTTTCAGATTCGGCGGCGTCATTATCGTCGTCGGTGGCAGCGGTGCAAAAGCCGGAATAGTGGTAGCGATTGTGGGGGTGGTTGTATCCATTTTTCGCCATCGGCTGAACGACTGTTTTTCTTGTGGTTCGTCGTCGCTCGAGTCGCCGTAAAAGCGCTTCGGCACACGTTTCCTCTTCGAAACTCTCTTGTTCTTCGCCTCTGTGCCACTGACATTTTTATTCGATACGTCCATGACAGCAGTGGCCGATGATGCTTGCTGCTGTTGTTGCATCTCTATCGCAATGCTCACAGCATTGCTGCTGTTGAAGTCGTTACATGTTGCAGCCGACGATAGGTTCGGCGTTAAGGATCTGTTATTAGAATGCAATGCCAACGTTGACTGCGACGATGCAACGAATCCCGGATTCTTCTGGTAAAGTGCCTTGGGAATGTTCAGTTTGATCGATTCCACGGTGGCTGTTGTAGTCGCGTTACGCTTACCGCCTCTCTCGCCCTTTCGTCGTTTCTTCGTTTTCGTTTTTCTCCTTTGCTGTTGCTGCTGTTGTTGCGGTTGTTGATTTTCGATGGTCATTGTAATCGAATCTGGTGCTGTTTCCGCGACTAGAACGCCATTATTCAGTGGCATTGATGGCTGGTCCATTGTCGGTATCAATGTCGAAGTTGGCGTCGACGTTGGTGTCGAGATCGGCGTCGATGCCGGCGCTACGGTAGCCAGCAATAGCAATTGATTGCGCTTCTCCGCCATTAATTTATTAGCAAGCAACTGCGGATATTCATCGTAGAAATCCTCATCGGTTTCGGTTTCCTCAGTTTCCAAATCAGATTCTCGCAAGAGAGGCTTCGCTGGAGAAGGCTCCCTCATTATCTCAGGGACCACGGAACCATTCTCTATCGCAATCTCTGGTTTGTCTTCCAGCTTGTTCTCTGGTTTGTCCTCCGGCTTATTCTCCGGCTCAACAGACTGGGATTTGTTCTCCCGCGTAGCTTCTCTTTCCTTTTTATTCCGGTCCTTACGATTGCTAGATTGCTTTCTGGGCGAATTCTCGGACGCGGAGCTGTCGGAATCAGAACTGCTGCTAGAACTGGAGGAGCTGCCAGACGAAGAGCTGCTGCAGCTACAGTTGGTGCCACACGAGCAACTGCTCGAGTCGGTATCGCTTGAGGAATCGCTCGTGGATGATGTGCTGCCACTTCGCTTCTTCTTCTTAGGAGTCTTTACCTTCCGTTTGTTCGCGTCGCTGTCACCTCCAGTATTGCGACTCGGAGTACCAGGTGACGGACTTCTTTCAGATTTAGTATCGTTCGCTTTCGTATCATTGTCCTTGGAAATAACTTGATCTTCATTCTTCTCTTTGTCGGATGAATTTACTACGCAATAATCATGATCAGAAAAAACGATACTCCTTAAATACGCTGCGTCAGTCTCAGGTACGCTCTCTTTCAACGCAACATTCTTGGCGGATTCCTCTACGTCCAAACTAGCAGCGTACGTCTTAAAATTGTCCCAAATACCGTCCATAATACGTGCTTCCTGCTTTTTCTCCTCCTCATTCCGTTCCACTTCGACTATATCATTATTCAACACGACACTGTCATCGTCATTGACGGCGATTGTTTCAGTAGTTGTTTCATTCTTCTTTGCCGCGTCTTCATCGATATTCTCTTTCTCCGGTAGTTTATCCGTGGAAGCGGGTTTCTCCTCCTCACTGTCAGTATCACTTTCGGACGACAGATTGAGTGGCGGTAGATCGTAAACATCGACCACTTTTTTCACAGCCTCTTTAACATTCTTCGACGTAGTCTCAACTCCTACCGTCGGGTCTCCATCGGTCATGGTCACAGATGTGTTTCTATCTGATTTCTCATCCTTGTCCGTCAGTGAAGTGTTAACTACATTCGTCACGTTCACATGGACGTCCTCAGGTTCAGGTTCCCTGTGAGTCGCTTGATGCTTAGCTAGGAGCTTTCGTGATATGAAACGCTGTTCGCATTCGTCACAGCCATATGGTGAATCGCCGGAGTGTAGCCTTTTATGCACCTTGAGAGCTACCGCGCGTCCAAAACTCAAGCCGCATTCTTCGCAAACGAACGCTGTGGGCGGTATACAGAAATGATATATGTGCGGCCATTTCTTCTGCAGACATTTTCGACATAGGACGCTCTCCGTGCCGTGCTTCCAAAACAAGTGTTTCGTGATATCCGGTTTATTACGGTATGCGATACCGCATCTGTAACACAAATGATGTAGCTTATGTTTCCAAACGTGATTCGAAAGGCGCTGCTGATTGCCTGTAGATTCCAGACAGACGTCGCAGGCATGGTGACGTTTGCGCACGTGAACCATCAGTCGGAATGCCGACGGCAAATTTGCTACAGGGCAGAGGCAACATCGATATCGTAGGTTAACATTCGGTGAATAAACTCCAGGACATAGATGGCATACCAATTCGCTATAACTGTAGAATGTCGATTTGCACATTATACAAATCAATATGGTCTTTTGATGCATTTTTCGGTTATGCAAGTATAACTCCTTGTGCACTGTCGAATGAAATCTGCAATGAAAACATTCGTATATCAGTACGTTCGGCACATTATATGTGCCATTTGTGCTGTTATATGTATCTAGATTAAAGTAACGGGACTCGAGTTCGTCGAGAGACCGCTTCACCCGCGCAGTAAACTGCTCCGCATGGATGATTATCGCGGGATGCTGCGGTTGAAACTTATGCTCCGCCAGCATATGCAGGCCCAATTGTTTGCCGTTGACTGCGATGTACCGTGCGTGATTGCAGTACACGCAAATGGGACTGGCTGCCTCTATGCAACGTTTCAACAGATCCTCTAACTCCATGCTATCCAAAGTGCCCTCAACATTCAAGTCAATACATGGAACATCTTCACCGGCTAACACGATACCACTATTATCGATCGTATGATTTTTCGTTTGCTCGTTTGCAACATCTTCAACTGCATTATTGACGGACGTTTCATTGGTGTTGTCAATTGGCAGCGTTTCCGTGATAGAGAATAATTCGTCAGTACACGTCCCAGTTTTAACTTCGTCGTTTTCCTCTGGATTCCTTTGACCCTTGCCTTCCACTTCATCATGTCTGTCTTCAGTCTCATCGGCTTCACCTTCCTCGTCATCTTCTGCCTCCTCGTCTTCTTCCAGATTGCTGTCTACTACCGCTAATTTATCGCTGTCAGAATCACTATCGTCCAGCTCGTTCACTTGATCATCGTCAATAATGTCCCTTCCAGTTTCCGAACCGTTCGGCATTCTCTCCTTCGATGTCGATCCTTCGGCGTTATTATTTTCCTCGGATTCCCTACTCGTGACGGTGGTTGTCGCGACGCTGAACTGCGAGTTCCTGTTACGAATCTTGATAATCAAACTCCTATCGGAAGAAGCAACAGCGTTAAATGAGACCGAAGCTTGAGATTCAGTGGTGTTTGTCACGACAGGTTTCTCCACTTTCTTGTCGATATTCTCAAAACTTTCTATCTCTTTAGATTGTTGATCCGATATATGCGATTCGTGTTGTGGACTAAATAATGATCGATTGACAGGACTACAGCTTCGTGCATCCTGTGGACTGCCGTATTTAGTTTCGGTCTCGCACATAACCCTCGCTTTTGTATCTATTGTAATTTCCTCGGTATCAAACTGCATTGGACTAGGTGTTCTCGAACTGGCCGAGTGTGTCAGATCAACATCGCTTTTATCGCATATTTCCTCGTCTTCAGTATTCGTTTTTTCAATCATATGTGACGCACATGCGTTTAGGGTATACGTTGCATCTTCTCTCTCATTTTTAATTTCTTCACCTGTATAGCGTGATACTTCCATAATGGTCTCGGTTACGCTATCGTAAGGTTCACTAAAATCAAGCTGACAATTTTGAACCGGCGATTTTCCTCCCGACCCTCTGTGATTATTGTGCACGTCTTTATTCACCGCCTGCTCATCATTCTCATCATTTTCGTCAGATGAATTACCGCCTGTGTACCTGGACACTTCCATTATCGTCTCGGTAACTGTGTCTCGGGGTAAGCTATTTGCAGTTTCTCTTTGCACATCGAGATTGCAATCGAGTTGAGTTTCGTTACACTGGAATTTCGCACTGAGCTTTTTCGTTAGTGCGTTTGGTTTTTGTTGGTGAGAATGTTGCATATCGTCTCTTTCGTGTTTCCTCCTATTATATTTTATCATTTTTCTTGGTAGTCCCTTACCTCCGAGATTTGTAATTGTCTCCGATGGAGGAATCATCGCCGGCGATGCATTGTCCGCATACATCGCATCGGCGACTGCCAGTGGCGTCGATGTGCTACATACTTCCTTATCTGTATCCGACGGCAGTGTGAAATTACAAGTACTCGCATGTGTGCCAGTTTGTCTGCATATAGTGCACATTGACGCAACGGTAACGGTCGAATCCTGCTCCAACACTGGAGAGCAAAAGTGGTTGAAGAAGTCGTCGGTCTCCGAAAACACCTTTTCACAGCTGCAACAGATAAGGTAGCACGAACCCTTGAAGGCATTGTAGAAATCCTCCATCGAGGAGAACGCCATCTCTGGAACGCTGTGCTTCTTCATCAGATGATACGATAGCCTCTCCGCCTGGCCGAACATACCCAGACAATAGAGGCATATGTGACGCTTGTGTGTGTCCCTCATGTGTAAGAACAAGTTCCAATTTTCAAAATACGTGCCACATGCCGAGCACAGATAGACCTTCCTCGTGATTTTAAAATTGCTCGCGTACGGCACCGAGGCACTTGGCTCCGAGGTACTGGCCATCGGTGTCATACTAGGATTACAAGCACATGAATTCTGTCTTGAGTTGGGACCGTAACCAGACCATGCATGACACTTGGTACACTTGTACCTCGAAGACGGCCGAAGACCCAAATATTGAGCGTACTCCGTTATCTTACGCTTCTGCTTTCTCTCCACCCTCTTGTCCTTGCCAGTCCTTGCATTGAGGTTCGTTAATTGTCGTAGCTCTGGTGTACTGTTCTTTGATGTAGCGGTAGGAACTTCCCGAGCCTCGGCTAAGATACGCTTCTTGAAACCCTTAAACACAAAGTTTGGCCCCGTGATGGTATTTTTACCTGGTGAATCATTCGATATGATCGAGCGTATCAACTGTTTCTCATCCTCAATTACAGCAGTATATACATCATCGATGGAATGTTTCAATGAATTGTCCAATGTGGAATCTTTGAGTCGCTGTTCCTCCAAAATGTTCCACATATCTATTACTTTACTTTCTCCATCTTCATCTTCCATAATAGTGCAAACTGTTACAGCGATCTACCTAAAACATACAATTATTTATTGCATCTACATATATACAGAATCTACGATATATATCTAAAATAAAATACATGTGTAATGATTTATGACTACATCTAAATTATTCAAATAACATATTCGTTAAAAATCAATTAGCTGCGTGCTTAAAACTAAATGTGCATCGAGTATGTCTGTTTACAATTAAAAAAAAATATTAATTTCAACGATGTAAAGTTAAACTTGAAATTATCAATCTTCTTGAACACGGATGATGTTTCAATGCAACATAAACACATCATCGACACATCATTCAGCTAATGACTTCTCAGTGACAATGAAAACAGAATTGTCTTATTGCGTCGTATTACGCATCAGATAACTCGTCGCGTAGACGACGATCACTCGTCACGATTCTATTCTCTGAGGATTTCACACTTTTGCTACTTTTTGCGTAAAGGGGGGAAAAAAAAAAGAAAACTCGAAGTAGGATTCACAGTCACATGTCGCGGCCGGAAAGACACGAAACTCTCGTTGTGACCTTAGGCTTGCAGATCACACGAAATCCGGTGACTTTTCGATGGAACGGCGACGAAGCGGCGTCCGGGGAAGGAACGCCGATTCCGGAACGAGATCAACGGATTGCGTGGCGGTTCGCTCTCTCGAACATTCTCGTTTGCACGAGACTCGTAATGATCTCGTAAGCGGAAGCTGGACGACGCGTGGACAAAGACGACGGAAATGTGCACCGCACGCCAGGATGATGACTCGCGGGAGAGAACGAGAGAGCGAACGAGAGAGCGGAGCGCGCGTGAGTTTCTACGATCGACCGAAACGAATCCCACGAGAGACTTATTTACTTACTTACGCAGAACGCGGGTCAGCCGTCGAGCGTAATCCGTACGACGATGAGATCAGCCGTGTGGCATACGCGGTACGAAGCGTTTCGGCGGCCGCAAGCGACTTGGAGAGACTGGGGTAGTCGTACGGGTCGTACGCGATGAAAAGGTTAGTAAAATGGCGTCATATCAATGAGCGCTGACACTGTCCGTGTTTCCAACACGTTCCCAGTGATGCCACCCTTTGTCATAATGACCGTGCCGCGCGGCTCGCCTCGAAAGGAGGTTAAATCCGAGTCTGATGCGGTCCGATGGGCGATAATGATTCCACGGTCACGAGGTTGCTGCTGCTGTTGCCGTTGACGTGACGTCCGCCGTAGACTCGGATGCGTACATACGTGCAGCGACGGAGTTAGAAGAGATGCGGACGCGAGAACGAATACGAATGCCGCTCACTCCGTCAATGCTCAGGGCCGTCGTACGGCGGTACGATGACATCTCTCGTGAATGCACACGCGTACGTCCAGCGTGGTGTCCGCGATACCCCCCATTCCTTTACTCCGGCGATGACACACTCGACGGCAACCGGTAAACACGACCGGCGACACGACGGCGACTCGGAAACACGAAACCGTCGAACATAAATCCTCCGATCGACGAAACTCTTGATATCTTTGGCACTTTGTTCGCGCGCGAATAGCCCCGTTTATGAACGTACCAATAAACGCGACTTTAGTATTGTCCGGACGAATTTTGTATGACAACTGCAAGAAGGAGCATCCTCTATTTAACTACGTTGCAGTTTGTCACAGCCATTCAAGTCAACCGGTCAAGCCTAAAATTTTTCATTAGACAATCATTGGGACAATCGCAAAATGTAGGACACGTACTAAAATTTTTTCGATTTTTTTTTTTTTAGATCGATCCTTTCGATTATAAATCGACGGTAAAACTTTCCCTTTACACCACAATTTGCACAGTCAGCCACAAATGACTTTCAAGTGACTTTGACCTCAAGAAGATCAAGGTCATTGACCTTTTTCATTGCTAGTTAGGCCGAAATCAGACTACGCGTTAAAAATTGAAATTGAAGATTGAAAGATTGAAATTTGGCCAATCAAAGTAATAGGAGCTAAAATTCCTTTATTCTCATTGATCAAATTTCAATTTTTTAATCTTCATTCTCAATTAATCATCGATGCGTAGTCTGATTCCGGCCTTATTCATTAAAAAGTTATTAACAAAAAAAGTTTGAAAATTGAAGACTTTTTTCTACTATGTAAAATAGCTCTTGCTTCACGTTGTACAGTATGAATGCTTTCCATCTGATGATACAAGTCACAACACAAGTGTTATATTCTATCCTTATAAACACAAATTCACTGCTAATTGATTTTAAAGCGCTACTGTATACGTATACAATACGATTTCAATGAGAGAATATCGCAATTTTTTTAGATTAATAGCTTCTTTATACGCATTAAATGATGTGTGCCATCAAGTAATGAATAAAATGTAATACATTCTTCATGTTGGAATGTGTGTTGTGTTGAAAAAATGTCCTATTCATAAAAATGTTTTCATTAATAACTTTTTAATGAATAACGAGCGACGGAAAAAAGTTCGATGACCTTGACTTTCTTGAGGTGACAAGGTTATTCGGAAGTTATCTGGAGCTGACTGTGTGAAAAGGAAATTTTACCCAAACTACGGTCCACTTAATGCTATGAATATTTAAAAATATTTTTTGATTGGTCAATTAGTACAATTCTCTCTTCCGATTGGTCAATCAAAAGCTTCGAAACATTTGTAACGTCAAGTGGACCGTATACCCAGTCTCATGATTGGCTACTAGGTCATGTGATTACAGTAAGGGGCTGCGCAGAATAAAAGGAACAGGGAACAGAGAATAAGAATTTCAACCTATCAGAAATCATTTACTATGGAATACCCACTGTTTATTCTACAGTATATGATTTCTGATAGGTTGTGAAATTCTTATTCTTTGTCCTCTGTTCCTTTTATTCTGCGCAGCCCCTAACTTTCTCTCTCGCACAGATGTTAGCTTCATGTTCAGTGCCATATTCCTCTTTCTTCTAAGCAAAAAAACAGATCTATTGAAGAACTTTTGCGATTATATTCGACGTTACATCAGACGGGATCTGGGCCGTATTGCCTCCGCTCATTCTATGGAGGCAGGAGCCATTAAATAAGAAGAAGAAGATGAAAAAGTTTTGCTACTAAAGTCACACGTAACTACATACATGCAAAGGCATGTGCTTGGTATGTTTCTACCGTGCCAAGTCGCCGATCAATGGCGCTGATCGCGTGCTGCAAGCGAGTTGGAATTCGCATCATTTGTCTCATACGCTTTATGGAATGCAGCCAATTTCAGGGATACTATAGGGAAATCGTGTGTGACCGCGCGTCTAGATCACGTCATGCAGTGGCTGCGTTCGGTAATAGCAAATCTGGGGTGCGTTCAGAAATTACACTCAGATAACTCTTGGGTGCATTTTTGATATAATATACGTGACGTAAACTATAGCCTAGAGTTACCTAGGCGTAATTTCTGAACGTAGCCCTGAGGTGTCGGAGTGCTCTTATATTATAGCATATGTCACGTGCACTATAGAAAAAGAGCACTCCGATGCCTCAGATTTGCATTGCCGAACGCAGCTAATAAGTATCGAACATACTCCAATATATATATGTATATGTATATACGGATATAGAATGTATGCGAGTGCGTCGACGCGTATCACGTTATCTCGCTCTTCGTATCTCGTGTACATCACGTTTGTTGATGCTACTCGCCTCTCTCGCGATTCTTTTACGGGCGGTAAAAGCAAGACACGCCGGTTTTTCAGTAGAAGGTTCTTCACACATACGCGAACGGAACAACGTTAAACGGGCCCGTGAGCAAGCAACTTGGGAAAGTCTCTAGCGGCAGAATCGCGGAGGGGTCTCTGTGCCTGTGCGCGACACACGGACGGTCGGACGTTGTCATTTGAAAACGGAAGCCATCTTGTGGCCGCGGCTCCCATATCACACGGGGAATAATAGTTCGACGGCTATTTGTTCCGATAAATTGCTTTGTATCTCACCAAATACGTCTAGACTATGCATGAACCATTTTATCACACGTTCACATAGCCATGGCTGCGACAAGAAAGTTGCAAGGTGAGGAGAAAGTGTTACCAGCGTGTTTACATTTGGATATATCGCAATGCTCGTTGCTGTCTCTCGTCATGGCATCAGACTGGACGAGAGAGCGGGTCCGGGTCGTCGCGCGCTCTCAGCCATTGTCACCGGTCTTCTGTGATTGTGCCTCGAAGATGCGTTTGAGAATCGCGCCAAGTCACAAACTTGGCGCGATCGCGAACGACAAGATTTCTCCCGGCACACAACGTATCGCACGGCGCCAATTCAGCGTCATAGCCCAAATGGCTACAACGGCTTACTATGACGCGGACGACTCTGGCCCAGGTCCATGGACTCTGCTCCGCTTTGTCTCGCTTACCTCCTACAGTCGCAATGGATCTTCCACTGTGCAGGACACGGCGGCTTTTTATTTTGTCAGCATAACCTTTAAAGATTTTAAACTTCAACTTTTTTTTTTAACTAATCATGATAGTGCGAGCCATAAGCTGTGTACCTTGAAATCTGTTTCATCGTGTTTAAGCCTGTCCTTTGTCATTGTATTGGATTGCACTAAACTTCTTATTTCTTTGACTTTTGTCAAACTTCAAATATGTATCTGTTTTATTTTATATATGTAGTGCATATTACAAAGAACATATTTCTCGCTATAAATCATTTACGTTTTTAGGTGTGGAATATAAATCACGAATCATTCTTTATCTCTCAAGATAATTATGTAAAAATGAGGATTTTTTTTTTATTCTATTGTGTTTTTTCCAATCACTGTATGTATATACTTTGGCTACTTTTAGTTATTTACTGCAAGTACTAAAAATCTATGGTTTATGTTACTTTATATATACTGTGGATTTTTGTAGCACTCCCTACGGAGTGCTTTTTATTTGGTGATATAAGTTGACATAAGCATCAATCAATCTTTCTTGACAAAAAGAACAGAATGATGCTTGTATCAACTTGTGACACCAAATAGAAAGAACCCATAGTGAATACATAACAAAA